ACCTACAAAAAGAAATCTAGACATGCCTGGGGAGTTATGCTTTTGGCTAACACATTTTCAGTTACTATTTTATGCTATCAATAGGAATAAAATATACAAAGCAGGAGCTTACTGTAGATGTCCACACAATGTGAGATCCCGTTTGTCCTCTCCGTCTTGGAACTCACACCCCTAGGAATCCTCAGGAGTAACTGGCTTCTGTAACGGTTTTTATTTTAAAAATATATTTTATTTATTTTTAGAGAGGGGAAGGGAGGGAGGAAGAGAGGAAGAGAATCACCAATGTGTGGTTGCCTCTTGCACGGCCCCTACTGAGGACCTGGCCTGCAACCCAGGCACGTGCCCTGCCTGGGAATCAAACTGTTGATGCTTTGGTTCACAGGCCAGTGCTCAATCCACTGAGCCACATCAGCCAGGGCTGTAAGCTATTTTTTAAATTTATTTTTCAATTACAGCTTACATTCAATATTATTTTGTATTAGTTTCAGGTATACAGCATAGTGTGGTTAGACAATCATCTATTTTACAAAGTGTCTCCCTGATATTTTCAGTAGCCACCTGGCACCATACATAGTTATTACAATATTATTGATATTTTCTATGCTGTATACTTTATACCGCTGTGACTATTTTATAACTACTATTTTTTAGTGTAAGCTATTTTAAATATTTCAACAATCCTAATAAAAAGTGTACATTTTCCTGTGCCTAACTCCTTTCTTACTAAAATGTTAACTTTGTCAGTGCTCAAATGATACCAGCTCAATAACGCCACTATCAATCACATGCTGGTGTGACATTGTAAAATTGCATTTTTACCTTATTTATAGATTAGAAGAATGATTATGAATTATTACTAAATGAAATTTAGCATACAAAACATTTCAAAATGTCAGATCCATGAGATCAAAACAATGGAAGGAGCTATAGTACTGAAAAGATTGGAAACTGCTACTTTTTGAAAACCCATCTTCAGAGGGCTTTTGAGAAACGGGGAAGATAGAGTAGTGCCTAAAGGGGCAGGGAAGAGGGACATGAGAATCACGAAACCATAATTGGGGTACCAAAAAGAAGCTAATGACCATTTTGTTGGCTTCTACAAATCCGCCCATTTGAAACCTTGGAAGCGTGTTCCCTCTTTAACTGTAGCAGTTTCCATTTCTTGGGTAATGGCGCCCTCTTCTGGGGTAAATGATGTGTCTACGCCCACCACTTGATTCAAAACTTGTATAAAGTACCATGTTTTGCCGTGTATAGTGCACACTTTTGCCCAAATTTTTGAGGGAAAAATAAGGATGCACGTTATACATGAGTAGTACCCGAAATGCCTTGCATCTGTTCTTGTGTTTTGTAATTACTTGTTACATAAAATTTCTTGTACCATGGGGAAAGGGAAGGGAATTTAAGGGGGAAAAAGGGGAGGGATTTTGAGGAACAAGTATGAAAGACACAGGGATGAGGACTAGGGGGAGGAAATGGGAGGGAGGTGGGGAGACGGGGCAGAGGGGGCTGGGATGGGAGAAATAGACAAGAAACTGTACTTGAAAAATAACTAAAATTTAAAAAATTTTCTTGTACCGTAATGTTCAAAAATAAATGCTAAAATTCCTTTATAGCTAAATGTAGAAATGTAAGCATCATCTATGTGGTACTGTTATATCACCTGATTCTTCTCAATTCTTTGCACTAAACAGAGAAGGTTTTATTTTTGTCCCCACATTTGTAACAAAGAGCAGATTTTCGAGTTGAGTTGGCCAAAGTCATATGGCTAGCAATGGCAGAAAATCCCTCCTACTCCCTTTTTCATTTTCTCCTTACGTCTTAGTACTCTTTACACTCTCTGACTCCAGTGCCTCTCGACCAATTTTTAACTACCCCTTAAACTATTTTCAATATCATAACATTTAAAAATGATAATTCCATTCTTTTTGTCACATAAAATGACATTCGGGTCCAAAATGATGACTCTTTTTACCTTCTGCTTTCTAAATATGGAGTAAAAATCTAGTCCTGTAGGTTTGAGAATGACCAGAGAGAGACAAATTTATAGTCATCTTGTTCTGTCTTAAGGTCATAAAGTTTAATGCGTTGAAGCCAAAAGCAAGGGAAATCTTTATAGAATCTGGAACAGAACAACAGATGAGGCTCCCCAACTCTTACATTTTTAAAAAAGATTTTATTTTTAGAAAAAGGGGAAGGGAGGGAGTAAGACAGGGAGAGAAACATCAGTGTGAGGGAGAAACGGATCAGTTGCCTCTCACCTGCCACCTGGGCATGAGCCTTGACCAGGAATCAAACCCATGACCTTTTAGTCTGCAGGATAGTGCTCAACGTACTGACCCATACCAGTCAGTGCCCAACTCTTAAATTTTAAGAAAGAAATATCAGTGACTGGTAAGATATTTGGGAAATAGAGATGTTCTAGTAATACTATATTTTTAATTACTTGTGCATTTTAATTATGCTACCTCTTCATGCTACCCCCCCCCCTTCAACTTTAACCAGATTCAAATCTCTTGAGATTTATACAGGGAACAAACATGAAAAAATAATTCTCTATTTCCCCACCCTCAGTCCCAAGTTTTCTAGTTGATACTCATTGAGAACACACAGGTAGTAGTATCCAATTTTTTTTTTTCAGCTAAGCCACAGCTTGGTCAAATTACTTATAACTTGGTTTAATTTGCACACATTTGCCCTTTCCACCTGATAAAATCAGCAGCCAGAGATTTGATTAAATAAATTAGGGGTTTAGAAAGTCAGGGTTTGTAAAGTGTCTTAAATCATAGAAGGTCATTCTGAAAAACACTAATATAACTCTCTTGCATAGAGAGAATAGAAGTCTAGTCCTTTTCTTTTACAAACCTGCTGTATGATCTTTGACATAAAAATGAGTGCCAAAAATAGTCTTGAAGAACTGAAGTCTACTTCATCTGTATTTGCTCTTCAACCGCAACATATTAACATCTGTTCCTTCTATCCCAATTTTGACATCCTTAACTGTATGACATCCTTAACATGTATGACATCCTTAACTGCATCCACTCTGTATTCCTTTGCACACTATTCCCTGTTGCAGGTCTATGAACTTCACCATGGTAGAACTGGCGGTGAGTGTGAGGGGGTGGGACAAAAGGATTTAGAAAAAAAAGCACAGATTTAGAAATGCATAGCTATTCTCATAATCTAGGTTTGCAGAGGTGTTCAACCTGCCTCCCACAGGCCACATGCAGCCCAAGATGGCTGTGAATGCAGCCTAACACAAAATAGTAAATTAGCTTAAAACATTGAGATTTTTTTTTTTGTGATTACATGCTGCACTGTCTTTAATGTGTGGCCCAAGACAACTCTTCTCTAGTGTAACCCAGAGACACCAAAAGGCTGGACACCCCTGATAGGGAGAGATGCATTTTTCCACAGTCATTAGCTGAACACTGGTTTGGTTCACAGTATTGAATCCATAAGGTGGGAGCCCTTGACTTAGGCCCATTCATAATTGAGCAGATGGCCCATGGCAATCAGATTTAACTTTTGTGGTTTCAGCTACTCAGGACCAACCCTTAAATTCCATGACATGTAGCAATTTGTAATTTTGCTAAAACAGAGGTTTGGTGCTCAGGGTACAAGGCTGGACATTGTCAAGTGGTTTGTGAAGTGCTCCTGCACCTACATCTCAATTTGGTTTCTTGTCCTCCATTCAAGAGCAGCCGGACTGAAGAGATTAAGAGATCAAAGAAATGGCTCTGAAAAGAAAGCCAAGCGGTTAGTAAGGTGATGTAAGAAAATGCAGGTGCTAAGGAATTAGCATTTGACACCCTTTGTGGTGTCAAGTTTTCCAATTTTGTATAAGATTGCATGTAATCCAGGGACAGTTAATCCCCATTAGAAAAATAAAATGTTTTTATTCACTGCAAATACATAATGTGTTGAAGACATTTAGGCTTGTTTTTTTTCTCCAAGTTTCTCCAGGTTTTTCCCACTTATTCTATGTTGCATGAGAGCAATCTTCCCTGAAACGCTTTGCTAAGAAACTCAAAGCTTTCAGGTAGGTGTGGCAGGAAAGGCACTGATTTCGAATTCAGATGAGCTCTTCCAGTCTTGACTGCCACTAACTGATTGTGTTACTTCAGATGAGTAAATCCCATTCTAGGGGTTTAATTTCCTCAATTTCAAATGGGAATGTGGGAAGGACCTAAAATGAACCAAGGACCAACTTTGTGACAAAATATCTAGGACTTGAGGGACCGTTGCCCAGACCTGGCTTTCACTTCAGGAACCTCTAGCCCCTTGCCACCCACGCAAGACTGCAGGCCCCGCGCCAAGCCGTTGGAAGTTATCGCTCCACATTCAACAGGCGGGGCGGAGGTCTTTAGCTTCCGGGAGCGAAAGGCGGGCGGCACGCCATTGGCCCTGCTGTAGGCTGTTCCCGCTCCAGTCCGCGGCTCGTGATTTTTTTTTTGGGGGGGGGGTGTTATTCGCCGCCCTGGAGGAGCTTTCTAATCCCCGCACTGCATGCTGTGAAGCCCCGAAGAGTATCCGCGGTGCCGAGAAGAAATATTGGGGTGGGGGTGGGAGGTGAAGAACGGAACCCCCATCCCCACAACCACTTTATGCTAATCAGCTCTTGTGTCCTTTATGGAGATTGGCCAGGTTTTTACTGTTAGAAACCAATCACTTTAGAACAAGGATAGGCCAATCGAACTTTCTTACACTCATTGGTTGGAGATTGTGACTCAAGGAAAGAATTTAAACCTAGATTACTTCCTCCCCACCCCCATCCGGCGGTGCGTGTCCCGGAAGTGACGCCTGGCTTTGACCGGGCGGCCGCCCTGCCCCCGCTTCCTTTCGCGCTGCCGCTAGCCTAGGTGGTTGTGGCCACCGTGCCCTGAGGGAGGCGGCGACTACCAATGATGCCTGGGAAACTCCTCTGGGGAGACATTATGGAGCTGGAGGCACCCTTGGAGGAGACCGAGAGCCAAAAGGAGAGGCAAAAGGTGCGCTGAGGATGGGCCGCGCCTCCTTTTGGACTGCGCCGGCTAGGGCGGGGAGGGGAGTTGTCCCTGGTAGACTGTCACCACCCGCCGTAGCATCCGAGGGCCTCCCGTCGCGCATCCGTCGTTCCTGGGCCATTCCTCCGTCCATCTGGAGAAGGGCGACATTGGGCTTTGGTTCTTCAGCCTTTTACCCGTCTGTACCTGCGAGATGGGCAGACTCAAGCTCCCATCGACACGTAATTTGTTCTTTTCTTTTTTCTTAAGCAGCGAACCCTGTTATTTGGTTCGTGTTGGCCGTCTTAGAAAATGTTTAAGAAAACTGATTGCTTTAAATGTGTGTTACTTCATCACCCTGACCTGTGTGCGAGAATCTTGGGGGAGAGCGGCCTTAGGTTTACAAACCTCGGTAACTAGTCTTTAGAGGCTTAAGCAGGAGTATCACAGGCAACAGTGCCAGGATTTGGTTGTGATGGAGATCATGTGAGTTGTATTAATAGACTTTACTGTTAGTATTTCCATTCATTCCACAAGTATTTATTGAGCCTAATTTGTGCCAGACTGTGCATCAAGAGATTTAAGTCCCTGCTCTCAACAAACCTGTGGAGTTGTAGAGTCTTCCCCCTTCATCCAGCCCCTCCAAAGAATGACACCTGGAGAAAAAAAAGCCGAGGAGAGTAAGGAAGTGGTGGTGTTTGAGGGCTGACATTTGACAAAAGAATGAAAATATTCTGTATAGGCCCGGAGAGCAGAACCTTATTACAAGGTAATAATTACAAGGTTGCCAATCCAGCCACGCAGTTTTTATTTATTTATTTTTTATTTTTAAAAAAGATTTTATTTGCCATGGCTGGTGCTGCTCAGTGGATTGAGCGCTGGCTTGCGAACCAAGGGGTCGCTAGTTCGTTTCCCAGTCAGGGTGCAGGCCTGGGTTATGGGCCAGGTCCCCAGTGTGGGTTGCTGGAGAGGCAACCACACATTGATGTTTCTCTCCCTTCCCTTTCTCCCTCTCTTCCCCTGTGTCTAAAAATAAATAAATATAAAATCAACTCCTATTCTGTCTAAAAATAAAGTCCTTTTAAAAAAGATTTTATTTTTATTTATTTTTAGACAGGGGAAGGGAGGGAGAAAGAGAGAGAAACATCAATGTGTGGTTGCCTCTCACATGCCCCCAATTGGGGACCCAGCTGGCAACCCAGGCATGTGCCCTGACTGGGAATCAAACCTGTGACCCTTTGATTTGCAGACCAGCGCTCAATACACTGAGCCATACCAGCCAGGGCATTTTTTTAAAACATATTTTTATTTACTGATTTGCAAGAAAAAGAGAAACATCAGTTTGTCATTCCACTAATTTATATATTCATTGGTTCATTTTTGTATTGTATATGGCATGACTTGGGACCAGCCTGGAACTTTGTTTTACTAGGATCACACTCTCTAAGCAAGTAAGCTACCACAACAGACCAGTTGGTATTTTTTTATTTTGTTTTTGTTTTGGTACTAAAATATATACAACATAACATTTACTATATTAACCATTTTTAACTGCAGATTTGCCCTGACTGGGTGGTTCAGTTGGTTGGAGCATCACCCAGTACACCAAAGGTTTATGGTTCCATCCCTGGTGGGGACATATCTAGGTTGAGTTTTGATCCTGGTGGTGGCATGTACTTGAGGCAGCCTATCCATGTTTCTTTCTCTCTCGCCCCCTCTTCCCCCAGTTTTTCTCTCAAATCAATATACATATCCTCAGGTAAGTATTAAAAGTAATAATAATAAAGCAGACTGTACAGTTTTGCAGCATTAAGTATATTCATATTGTTCAACAGCCCCTGATGCCATTTATCTCCAGGACTTTTTCATTCTCCCAAACTGAAACTCTGCCCATTAGACAAGACACCAACTCCCCTTTGCCTCCTTTCCTCAGCCCCTGGCAACCACCCTTCTACTTTCTGTCTCTGTGAATTTGATTACTCTAGATGCCTCATATGTAAGTGGAATCATCTAGCAGTTATTTTAATTTTGTCTCCTCCTGAAATACTTGTTTTTCTTCTTGCTTTAAAATCCTATTCATCTGTTATGGTTTAGTGTATGTGCTAACCACTGTAATGTGTGTACATAATCTCATTCCCCTTTGAAGTCTTGTTCCAGTGCTCTCTTTACCATTTGATTAACCTTTATTATGCACTTTCTTGTAAAGTTAGCTCATTTTTCCTGTATATATCTTTCCTAAATATTTCCTGAAGATTCCTGAGGGAAATAGCCATGTATTTGACCATTGTTACATTTCACTATAATCTTCTAAACTGATGGCTTTCAGATTGTACATTCTCTAGAAGTCCTTGCTGCAAAATTGTACGGTTTAAAATGGTTAAAATGGTAAATTTTATGTTGTGTATATTTTAGTACAGTTAAACTGCTTGGATGGAATGTTAGCTTTACCTTTGTGGTAAGGTGGGAAGGTGATAAGGTTCTGCTCTCTGGGACTATGTGAGTTAGAAACAGATTGGAGTACTCATAGAAATAAGTTGAAGATAATTTTGGCTTTGGGTATGTTGAGCTATGGAGCTGGGCCTTAGGTTTTCAGAATTTGAGTGCGACCGAGGAAGGTAGCCTGGCAGTGTATGTTGAAGCTATGAAAATGGTACGAAAGTGTAAGTAGAGAGCAGACTTACGGAACATCCACAGAAAGAGGAGGAAGAGGAAGCACTAAAGGTAGAGGTAAGAAGATAAGGAGGGAATAGAAGGTCATGGAAGCCAAGGAAGTGGAGCATGTCAAGCAGTGTGGATCAGATGTGGAACAACGTATTTCATCACCTTGCCATATTGATGGGCTTGGACCTAGAGGTCTCACTTTACCTTGCTTCATTTCCCTGAAGTGCATGGCCCAGGAACAATTCAAACTCCAAGGCTGGCTCTCTAAATCACCTTGTATTTCTATAGAAGCTGTTGATTTGGGGAGATGTGGGCTAGTTCAGTTAACTAAAGATCGAGTGCTGCAATATATAAATGTATAACTTAGGTTAATTTAAAGCTCTACCATTTACAAAGCATTTTCACATGTTACTCAGTTTTCACTGAAACTCCTGTTTTATGGATGAAAAAATTGTATGTGAAAATATTCTGTAAAAAAATGTGTAAATCATGGTGAAATTTTTGGTGGTAATAGCTTTTACCAACACTAATCAATACTTTCTAATTTATTTTGAACATTTGACCAAGTAATTCTGAATGCTAAATTTTCAGATCACTTCTTGCTGTCTGCAGATATTAAAGTACTGGCCACTCGTCTGATGTTTTAAAACTAAATTTGCAGAATAGTCTTGTAAAAAAGAAAAGTTAACTAAATTTGTAAAACTTTGAAAAACTTTCCAGGATTTCTAATATAGTTGTTCTTTCATGGGAGTGTAACAGTTAATTTGAACTATATAATTGCATTTCATTTATTTTTTCATGAACCTGTTATTATCATTGTTCAGAGGGGAAGCATGTTGTAAAAAGATCATGGACTTTCAAGTCAAATGGGCCTTGATTTCTAGCACTTCCACTTGCAGGAAACTTAACACGTGGGTTTTTGGCAAGTTGCTTAACCTCTAAGAACTTCTGTTTCCTCATCTGTAGAATGACAAAGGCAATACAGGTTCGCTATCCCTTATCCAAAATCCCTGGGGCTAGATGTGTTTTGGAATTCAGAATTCTGGGGATTTTTTAGAAGGTTAACACCCCAGTAGGGTTTTTGGTCCCGCAACCTTTAATCAAACATCTTAGTATTAAATGTGAATATTTATACTAAGTATAATAAATAAGGGCTGTAGATAACCTCATATTAATTCAAGTCAAATTTTGCCACCAAATGAGTTCAGGTCAGGTAAGGTTTTGTCTCCAAATAAGTTACAAAAAAAACTTTCGGTTTTCAGAGCTTTATGGATATCGGAATTTCGGATAAGGGATTATGGACCTGTACTTCCCTTATAGGGTTGTTATGAAGATTTAAACAAGATAAGCCGAAAACACATTACACAATGCTGGGTAGGTACTCAATAAGTATTAATATTTTTTCTGTTGGAGATATTTGAAGTTTTTGTTTGTTTTTTAATTTATAAGTCTTGGGTTCTCATTCTTTTTCTGAAAAGGAGGAATTTTACTTTCCTTTAAATCTAATGATGGGATTAGATGGGCTAGAAGCCAAATCTTGAGGATGTAAGAGATGAGAGAAAGCAATACCTGAGGCTAAAGCTTGGCATTAGAAACCAGCTTCGATTTCTATCAGGTTACTTTTAAGATAACTGTACAGTGAGCTTTGCTGTTGGGGGAGTCATGCTCTACTCTTAGAGGAGGGCTGTGACTCTATTGTCACTGCTTTGTTTTTTTACAGAGTGATAGAAGGAAGTCAAGGCACCATTATGACTCAGATGAGAAATCAGAAACAAGAGAAAATGGTGTTTCAGATGACCTGGATGCTCCCAAGTCCAAAAAAGCTAAAATGAAAGAGAAGCTAAATGGAGACACTGAAGAAGGATATAATAGACTTTCAAATGAAGTTTCTAAATCTCATAAGTCAAGAAGAAAAGATCTGCCAAATGGAGATATTGATGAATATGAAAAAAAGTCAAAGCGAATGTCTCCCTTACATAGTTCTTCTCATAAATCAAGTGATAATAATAAGCTAGAGGAGGTATGGATACTTTTTGTTTTGCATTTGACATTATCCTTGAAATAGAGGTTAATTTGATTGTTTAAACTAATTAGAGTTGATTTTATAATATTTCCTTCTTAGTATCCAGTATTTTCTCTCATTTGGACCCTGGAATCTCTACAGCCGAAACCTCATGAGTCTTTTTTCCTTTGTCCCTTGTTTCTTTTAAGGTATTGCCTTTTCTTTGGGGAGGAAGTGGGGGATGATCAGATTAAAACCTTTTCTATACATTTGAGTTCTTAAAACTTTCTTCTAAATTGCTTATTGATGGTCACCTACTTTCATTTCTTGTAGTTCTTTTGCACCCTGCCAGTACTCATGAATTGACTTCTGATTTCCTAAAACAATGTACCATAAGCCCACTTGACTTTGTGTATTTTGCCTTTTGCTTTTTCTGCTTTTATAACAGTAGAAACTTTAAATGATCTTTGCCTTTGTAACTCAATTTTAAAGCTGCATTTTAAAAACAGAAATGAAAGAAAAGTGATCTGAAGAAATCTGTTCCCCTGGGTATTTTGGAAGAATCTTTGTTGCGTTTGCCCAGTACCTGTTAGTGTAGATATTTTCTTGCACAGACTTTGTTTGGTTTGTTTCTGCAAAGTTCATAGATTTCTCAGTAAATTATTTACGTCCTCGGAAAGAAACAACTTTGCTATTCTTAATAATTCTTGGTAGTTAATAATTCTTTATATTTTTAAAATCTGATAGCTATTGATAATTTAAATATATTTGAGCTTAATTTAATGTGTATCTTTGGGGAGTTTTGGGAAAAGATATTGAATTCTTGCCTTACAGTATGGTGTTTTTATATTTGATTTGCTGTTGGTCAGGAAGCACTTATGTTACAGAGTTGATCTAAATAAGGCCCTACAAATCTGTATTGCTGATAGAGGACCGCACAGGTTGCTGTTGCTCTTTTGGGATTTTGCCTGATACACTGCTTTGTATTATAATAAGCTTACCTGTTTGTAATTTTATTTAGATCATGTTAGGATTCAGGAATTTTACTTCTAGAAATTTGTCTTCCTAAGGAGGTAAAAATGAGGTGTGCAGAAATTATGAATAAGTTCTCTTATTACAGTGACACTGTTGATAATAGCCCAAAATTATAACATCCTAAGTGTCTGGTAGTAGGCAGTTGGCTTAATAAAATACACTATATGCAATAGCATGCATCTATCCTAAATGTCATAGGAGAATGTTAGAATGGCATTCAGTGTCTCTTACTAAATGAAAAAAAGCAGATTACAGAACACTATATACAGTATTTCTTATTTTTATTTTAAAAATTTCTGTGTGCATAGAGTGAGGATTGGGAGAGTGTTTCAAATGTGACTTTAGCTGACTGGATTACAGGTAATTTTCCTTCCTTTTGTTATATAGTTTCTAAAATTTCTGCTGTGAAAATGTACTACTTTTGTAATATTTTTTTTCTTTTAGTCTTAAAAAGTTGACAGCATTGAAGTTTCCTTAATGGCTTACAATTTGATTTTGCTATTGATGTCTTTTATTTAATTCCCTATTTGAAAATTGCTATTGTGTGTGGTTCTGGAAATACTTTCTTTAAACACACCAATAATAAAGTTTGTGGGTAGATATATTGTCTTTGTTCTATACACACACTGAGTGGAACACAGAATTTTTAGTAACTGTTAAATGATAATGTCATGCTAACCTGTACATATGTTAAAGATATTTTCAAGCTTATGGGAACTTTTCCTTGTATTTGTCACCTAAAAAATGCTTTTTAGAGCTATAGAACAACTTTTTAAAAAATAGAACAACTTTTTAACTTATTTTTTGGTAGCAATTTACATTCCTCATTGTGTGATTTCTTCTAGGATTTTTATTGGCTGGTGTTAATCCTCATAATTAGCACTGTTTGTATCTGAATGTGATTTAGATTATTAAATAGTTCTTTTGTAATATCTTAGTTAAAAGGAACTATATTTTGATTTATGTAATAGGTGTATTTCTAAAGGGAGTTTTATGTGTGAATTATTTTTAAATGTATTATGGGAAAATATATTAAGTAAGGTTGCTACAGTATTTAAAGGGATTCTTTTGAAATTGAAAGAATTTCTCACTAATTTACCTTATAAATTAATCTATACAGTTTTTGCAAGTATTAAGCTAAAGCTGATTTGTTAGCTTATTTAGTAAAACTGAAAACAGTAAATGAGGAAAAGATTCTTAGTACTTAGTCAAATGTGAACTATGTTAGAACTTTGATTTCATTTTGACAGACCCTAACACGTGAACAGAAGGAAGGAGCTTTCTCCAATTTCCCTATTTCTGAAGAGACTATAAAGCTTCTGAAAGGTACAATGAATTTTAATGGATATGCAATGGATAATGTAAATCTAAAAACTAGATTTTCTGGCCAAAAGGAGAAAGAATATAGAAAGCATAAGTAGCTCATCTTTAATTGCAGTTATTTCTACATCATTCTTTTGGTATCCTGATCTGTTTTTAAATCTAAAGAATCATATATTTGTCAAAAGTTTAGATCTTTTAAAAAAGATAATTCCTCTTTGGAGTAGGAATAACTGTAAATGTCGCTAGGTGGTATATCTTTAGGCAGACATTGAGGAATCAGGATTATCATTTTCAAAGAAATATATTTTTTTCTAATTCTAGTCTTAAATAAATATTTCAATGAAATCTCATTTTACAGGTCGAGGGGTAACATATCTCTTTCCTATTCAAGTTAAGACCTTTGGTCCTGTATATGAAGGAAAAGATTTAATTGCTCAAGCACGGACAGGAACAGGAAAGACATTCTCTTTTGCCATTCCCTTGATTGAAAGACTCCAAAGAAATCAAGAGACAATTAAAAAAAGCCGCTCACCAAAGGTAACCATTATAGGGAGTAAAAAGTTTAAACATTAATGAAAAGGGAAAGAAAGAGTATATTGGTTTTGAGTTCAAGTACCCCCAGGACAGAAAAGTTAGTCCCATGGCATAAAGTAAAAATTTGGGACCTGCAGCAAAAATTGGTTGATTTTTCTTTTTTTTTTAAACAAAAGAAATCTTACTCTGACCAGTGTGGCTCATTTGGTTGGGCGAAGTCCTTCAAGGCAAAAGGTTGCCAGTTCCATTCTTGTTGGGTCACATGCCTGGGGTTGTGGGTTTGCCCCCCCACTCAGTTGGGGCATGTGCAAGGTGCAGCCAACCTTTTCAGGGTCTCTCTCACATCAGTGTTTCTTTCCTCTTTCTCCCTCTCTTCCCCTCTCTCTAAACATAAGTAAATAAAATCTTTAAAAGTAAAATCTCAAGTGGTTATTGCATATAAATGTAATGTTTATGGACCCTTAGATATCTTTGATAACTGTAATTATTATAAAGCCAGCATATCTAATTTTAGGAGTATTTAATTTATAGTTAGTATATTTAGTGACCTTTCTCTTCTCTTTTTTAGTCATATCCTTTGCTTTTAAATAATGAATTTGCTAAAGAGATATTCATTTATTTGGTCATTTTGCAAATTATCAACATTTTTTTCATTGGTTGACTTTAAGAAGAGATTATGGAATGATATTGCTGATCCCTATGTTATTGGGGTACTGGAGATCAGTCCTAATGTATAAGTAGTGATGAACAGAGAGGCCCTAGTGAAATTTTAGCTTAAAGGTAGACTTTTTTAGAATCCATGTTTATTTTAAGATGCATAGAAGTTAAGAAGAGCCCTGGCTGGTGTGGCTCAGTGGGTTGAGCGCCTGACTGCACACTGAAAGGTCACCAATTAGATTCCCAGCTGGGGCACATGCCTGGGTTGCCGGTGAGGACCCTGGTTGGGACTGAGTGAGAGGCATCCAGCCGATGTATTTCTTATACATCATGTTTCCCTCCCTCTCTTTCTCCTTTCCTTATCCTCTCTCTAAAAATTAAATGTTTTTTAAAATGTGAAGAAGAAAAATTAGCATTATAATTTGAAAAGATGTGACTAAAAGTAATTTGCTCTTTTAGACTATTAAATGGTATTGCAGTATGAAAATATGACATATGTGAATGTAATTAAGTCTTAATGGTCTTGGGTCAGGTTGGCCAACAGGGCAAATCTTTTTCAGAGAATTCTACTTCTTAGGTAAAATTAGGAAACATTGCAAGTAATAGAAGTAGGACACAGTCCGAGCACTGCCTTAGAAACTTTTATGCCGAAAGGTCCTTACTGGAAATTCCAGCTCTGCCACTTTAGCTGTTTGGTCTTGGGCAAGATTCTTAATTTCTCTAAGACTCAGATTCCTCGTTTGTAAAATTGGAATAATCCACCTCACAGGATTTTTGTGAGGGTCAAACTAGGTAATTCATGTAAAGCACTAGTGCCCGGCACATTGTGAGCATTTATTCATTCAACAAATGTTTTTTGAGTATCTGTTCTGTGCCAGGTACTGTTTGAAGAACAAGGTATACAATAATTCAAATGGACATAAATCCTTGCCTCCGTGGAGCTTACATTTTAATAAGTGAGAAACAGTAAGGAACTAAGTAAAATATAAATATCATATGGTATAAATGCTAAGGAGAAACTGGGGCATGAGGATATGAAAAGAGGGTTAGGAAGCTCATTGAGAAAAGTGAGTTTTGAAAAGAGATCTGAAGGAAGTAAGGGAGGATAAAATAAATACAAGCTGTTGTTCTTGTTTTTTGTGGTGTCCTTAAGTACCAGGACATTAATGTTGAGATTCCTAGTTTTAAATGTACCTTTAAAAAAGTCTTCTCAATTTAAATTTAGACATCTTTAGAAAAGTATCTTTTTGTTTTTTAAACCTCTTGCTCAGGTACTTGTTTTGGCTCCTACAAGGGAACTGGCAAATCAAGTAGCCAAAGACTTCAAAGATATAACTAGGAAACTCAGCGTAGCGTGTTTTTATGGTGGAACATCATATCAAAGCCAGAGTGAGTAAATATGTATGATAGTAGCACAAAGATCTATTTACTACTTTAAAAATCTAAAGAAATAATAGGAAATATATATTGATTTACATATGGTTGATATTTCTTTCCTCTCACAGTTAATCATATTCGAAATGGTATTGACATCTTGGTTGGGACCCCTGGTCGGATCAAAGACCACCTGCAGAGCGGCCGATTAGATCTTTCTAAACTGCGCCATGTTGTGCTTGATGAAGTGGATCAAATGTTAGATTTAGGTTTTGCTGACCAAGTTGAAGATATCATCCATGAGTCCTACAAAACTGGTATATCCTAATTCAAAATAAGCATATTAGCAGTTATTCTCTTATATAAAAACTTGAGAAATGTTTGCTTTGTAATTTTTACCGCATTGCCCCATTGTTCTAACAGAACTGAAATTATTTGGAGTCTGTTCTTTTCATGAACAAGAAAATACAATAGCATATTTTAAGTAACTATTTTCTTAGTTTTCTTTACTTTCTTCCATCCTTTTTTATAGTCAGTAGTTAGATTTACTAATTCATGTTATTGAAAGTTTCATTTCATTTTCTTTGCCCATTGTTCCTTCTTCAATTCTCACCTTCCTTCTGGGTTCTGTCTTGTTTATATTTTCCCCTGATTTTGAAAGTTGAAAGTTTTAATAAGTGTAATGAAGTTTGTGTTCAAAATTCACGTTTTGAAATTTTCACTATTTTCTCAAAGTTTGGGGGGATTTTTAAGAGCTGACTACATCATGGGATATTAAAAAAGCATTTGAATTCTTTTTGTTTAAGATTCTGAAGACAATCCTCAAACTTTACTTTTTTCTGCAACTTGCCCACAGTGGGTATACAAAGTTGCAAAAAAATACATGAAATCCAGATATGAACAGGTTGACCTTGTTGGAAAAATGACTCAAAAGGCTGCAACTACTGTGGAAGTAAGTAGCTTTCCAGCATGACAGATTTTAACATTTAGTTGGTATTTTGAAATTTGTTGAAGCTAAACTTGAGTTTTGGGTACCACTTCGGTCCAAATCTTTTTTGCCCTTAGTCAGTGAGATACTTATGTAATTCTGTAGTATGAGACTGAAGAGCAGAACAGAATAAATAGGGAGAAAAGGCATGAATAGACAAACTCCAAGAGAGAAACAAGCAGCCAAGACAGAATCATGAAGTGTGTAGAATGAGACACAGGAGGCGCTTCATATCAGTTCAGAAAGAATGGTGCTGGGATAATTTGTTAAAGCTTCAGTGAAAAAAGTTACATCCTCATTCATATTTTATATCAAAAAATTTTTCAAGCGATTTTTGAAAATTAAGCATAAAATCATTTAAAGCACATATAAGTGAATAGTCATTTGATTTCTGGAAAGGGGAGGCTTTTATGAATGGAAAAGCCCGACTTTCCCATTTTTATAAATGGAAAGTCAGAAGAATGTAGTATAAAGAAAAAGGTTGGTAATTTCGACTCTATGAAAATTTAAATCAATAATATTTTTTAAAAATAATATTAAAGGTAATATTTGCATGGTTTATGATAGGTATGTACCATATATGTAACTTTTCCATTTAATAGAGGTACATATCTATATGTGGATATAGATAAAAATAGGCTTAACAATCGATAGTATGATCTGTAAATACAACATAGTGGTCACAAAGAATGCATTTGAGCAATACAAACCAAATTATAAAACGATCTGTACACAATTGTACTATTTATAAAAAGACAAAAATGCTAGATTCTTTAGGTTTTTATATAAATGAACAAAGATAGGTTGGAAGGATAAACATCAACTTAATAATAATTCTAGGAAAGAAAACTTTTTATTGATAGGATGGCCAGATGAAGCTTTGTGTATTTTGCAACGGCTGGAAGTTTTACAATAAGAAATTAAAATGTATCAGTGAAAATTTTTATTAAGAATGTTTTCAAACATATACAAAAATTGAAGGGATTCGATATACCTATCACCAGGCTTTAAGAATGATCTTTCTTATACACCCATACAGTCTTTCTTCATCCCTACATTTAAAGCAATCTACTGTCTTGGCTGGTGTGGCCCAGTGGATTGAGCACCAGTCTGTAAACGGAAAGGTTGTTGCCAGTCAGGGCATGTGGGCCAGGTCCCCAGCTGGGGATGTGGGAGAGGCCGCCAATCTGTGCTTCTCTCCCCCTCTTTCTCCCTCCCTTCCCCTCTCTTGAAAAATAAGTTAAAATCTTTAAAAATAAATAAATAAAGCAATCTACTTACCATATCACCTTCAGGTAATTTAGTATATTTTTAAAAAGGATAAGGACTCTTTAAAAAAACAAACAGTAAACCACAAAGTTATCACAGTAGAAGAAAACAGTTTTTCTTTAATGTCACTAAATATCCAGTGTCCACATTACCCTTTTTTTTTTTTAAGTAGTTTGTTTGACTCTAGATCCACATAAGATCCTTGCTTTATACTGGTTTGTATGTCTTAAATCTTTATAATCTGTAGATTTTTCTGTCCATTTTTTTCCTTGCAATACTTTGTTGAGAAGAATCGGTCAGTTAGTTGTCTTACAAGTTTTCCACAGTCTCAACTTTACTGATTTGCAACTCAGTGGTGTTCTTTAACATGCTCCTCTGCCTTCATTTTCCTGTGAGTTAATGGTTAGATTATTAATGGTTAGGCTTGATCAGATACAGGGTTTTTTTTGTTATTTTTTTGAGAGTGGGGGAAGCAAGACTTTGTTGTAGAGAGTAAAAAAGATTCTTCGTGTTCTTTTGCATGCTTTCCTGTTTTCCAGGTGTTCAGTAATTTATGTTACATTTCTAAGATAATTTTGAGATATATTTTAAAATGCACAGATTTAAAGTGTACAGACAGTTTAAGTTTTTTAGCATGAGCATTTTCAAACATCAAAAAGTTGAATTTCGCAGTGAACACCCATATACCCTACAGTTGGAATCTGTCATTAACATTTTACTATGTTTGCTTTATCACGTATCTACCCATCCCTGTATCCATTTTATTTCTTGATGCATTTCAAATTGTAGAAATCAGTGTACTGCCCCATAAGTATTTTAACATGCCTGTCTTTAGCACTCTTACTGTCTTTACTAAGGGAAGTAAATATTAGTAATATTTACTAATTTTTTATTGAGGTAAAATTCTAATAACTAAATTTAAATTTGTAAAGTGTACAATTTAATATCATTTAGTACATTAACAGTACCACCATCTTCTATTCCCAAAACACTTCATCATCCCAAAAGGAAACCTGGAACCATTTGGTACTTGCTTTCTCCTTTCCTGGCAAGTGCCAGTCTGCTTTTTGTCTCTGGATTTACCCAGTTGGGTATCTCGTAGAAATGTAATCATATAATATGTGACTTTTTTGTGTTTCGGCTTCTGTCACTTAGCATGATGCTTTCAAGGTTTGTTCATATAATATTACAGTTGTTAAAGATAAGATTTACGTACAAAAATGCAAATTTTTAAATGTACACTTAGTTTTGACTAGTGCATACATGTGTGTAACCAAAACCAAATATAGAATATTATCATCATCACAGAAAGTCCCCTTATGCTTCTGCCCCCTGAATCCCAGTTACATAGGCAATCACTGTTCTGATTTTTTGCTACCATAGATTAGTTTTGCCTGTTTTAGAACTTCATGTAAATGCAGTCATACAATGTATACTCGTTATTCATGGCTTCATTCACCCAATATATGTTTTAAGATTCATCCATGATGTTGCACATGTCAATAGTTGGTTTCTCCATCTCTCTTTTAGTTGGTTCCTTTTACGTACTCAGTAGTATTCCATTGTATATATATATTGCCATTTGTTTATCCTTTCACCTATTGGTAGCCATTTGTACATTGTTTTTAAATGGGATTGGGCAGAGTCTTTGTTTTACTGTCTTCCAGCAAGGTCAATTCTAGAACAGATAGAAAAAAATGTATAAGAGAAATCATTTTTACTAATTTTAATGAAATAGATATCTGGCATTTTGTTTCCTCAAAGCATTTGGCCATCCAGTGTCATTGGTCTCAGAGACCAGCAGTTATTGGAGATGTCCTTCAAGTCTACAGTGGTTCTGAAGGGAGGGCTATTATTTTCTGTGAGACCAAAAAGAATGTAACTGAAATGGCCATGAATCCACACATAAAACAGGTAAGTCTTTTTTCATGGTTTCTTTAATTGAGATTATAGGGATGAATCACTCAACAGAAAACTATATTGTCCTTTGTGGCTCGGGTTCAATAGTCATTTGTAGAGTCGAGTCTAATTCAGAAAGAAGTTGTAGCTAGCCTCTTGTGATCTGTTAAATCAGGATAGAATTCTCCCTGTTTTCCTGAGGTTTGTTAAGATTTTGCAAATGTGAACTTGAAAATACAGAGATTGAAGCATAGTGAGTGTGTGCAGGTGGGAGTGGGTAATATTTCAGAGTTGTGTTACAAAACAAATCACAAATATTTAGTGAATGAATCAGAATATTAAGTCCATGTGTTTTTTTGTTTTAACTTTTTATTGGAGAAAATTTGAAACATAAAAGTTAGCAGTATAATGAACCTCTATGTATTCATTCTCTAGCTGCAATAATTATTTCATCCAAATTCTCACTTCATACTCCTAACTCATTTTGATGCAAACCCTAGATAACATATGTTCCTAAATATGGGTATGTGTCTGTAAAAGGAAAGGATGATTTTTTAAAACTCACCATGCTGTTATTTAAAAAATTAACAGTAATTAATGCCTTGAAATAGCATTTAGTGTTAGGATTCTCAGTTGCCTCATTAATGTTTTGCTTTGCCTTTTTTTTTTTATCTTTAGAGGGGAAGGGAAGGAGAGAAGGAGAGAACTATCAATGTGTGGTTGCCTCTCATGGGTCCCCTGCTGGGAACTGGCCTGCAACCCAGGCATGTCCCCTGACTGGGAATCGAACCACAATCCTTTGCTTCACAGGCCCATGCTCAATCCACTGAGCTACCCCAGCCAGGGCTTGTTCATATTTTTTATCTTCTTAGATAAGTCCCTTTAACATTTCATATAATAAGGGCTTGGTGATGATGAACTCCTTGAACTTGACCTTATCTGAGAAGCACTTTATCTGCCCTTCCATTCTAAATGAAAGCTTCACTGGATAGAACAATCTTGGATGTAGGTCCTTGCCTTTCATGACTTGGAATGCTTCTTTCCAGCCCCTTCTTGTAAGGTCTCTTTTGAGAAATCAGCTGATAGTCTGATGGGAACTCCTTTGTAGGTGACTGTCCCCTTATCTCTTGCTGCTTCTAGGATTCTCTCCTTCATTTTAATCTTGGCTAATGTAATGATGATGTGCCTTGGTGTGTGCTTTCTTGGGTCTACCTTCTTTGGGACTCTCTGAGCTTCCTGGATTTCCTGGAAGTCTATTTCTGTTGCCAGATTGGGGAAGTTCTCCTTTATTATTTGTTCAAATAAGTTTTCCACATGTGGCTGTTCCTCTTCCCCTTCTGGTACCCCTATAATTCGGATGTTGCAGCATTTAAAGATGTCCTGGAGGTTCCTAAGCTTCTCCTCATTTTTTTAAATTCTTGTTTCTTCATCCTTTTCTGTTTGGTCATTTTTTTCTTCCTTCTGGTCCACTCCCTTGATTTGAACCCCAGTTTTCTTTCCATCACTATTGGTTTCCTGTGCATTTTTCTTCATTTCAATTAGTTTAGCCTTCATCTGTTCCTCTAATTTGTTATTAAAATTGACCACTTCTGTGAGCATCCTGATCACCAGTGTTTTGAACTGTGCATCTGATAGGTTGGCTATTTCTTGGTCGCTTAGAGTTATGGGCTCTGGGGCTTTTAGTTGTTCTTGACCCATGTTTTGGTCTGTTTGAGCCTGTTACGTGTGAGGAGCGGAGCCCTAGGTGTTCACGAGGGCGTGGCAACTCAGTTGCTGGGTTGTGAGGCTGTATGTGGGGGCAGGGTCAGAGAGGAGCAATGGTGGGTTTTTTTTTTTTTTTTCCTCTCTCAGATTTTGGTCCCCTCTGGGGCTTCCCACAAGTAAATTGGGCCCTTCTAGTGCTGGTTCCCAGGTGAGTGGGCTTGTGTATGTTCAAGGACCCTGTGGGTCTCTCCAGTGAACTCTCCTGTGAGGCTGGGAGCCTCTCCCGGCACCTCAACCTCTGAAAATTTTTCCAATTGGTGCTTTTAAGTTTTATTTCCCCACGCTGGGGCCCTAGGTTGTGTGGTCTGTCTCACTGCCCCCCCCCCTTTTTTTTTTTGCCTGGTTTATCTACTCGTGAATGTGTGTCCTCCTCAGTCAGCCAACTGCCTTGCACGCCTTGTTTTCTCCCCACACCTGGTTCTACTAACCACTGCCTCTTCCTGCCAGGACCCCTCTCCACCGGCAGCCGACTCCTCCCCTCTTACTGGTCTGGATGGATGGTTCATTGTTGTCAGACTTCGGTACAGTTCAATTTTCTGTTTGTTCTGGTTGTGTTTTTGTTTCTAAATCTTTGTTGTCCTTAAATTTGGTTGTACAAGGAGGTACAGTGTTTCCACCTACGCCTCCATCTTCCCATGTTTCGGTTTTTAAAAGTGGTATTAAAATAATTTTTTACACTTTAAGATTTAAATAGAATCATTTAAGTATTGTTTAGCACAATACTTACAGCAAACAGTATAGAAATACAGAAGTGTAGCTATGTGTAGAGATGCATATATCTCATTACTCCTGTAATACTATTTTTATGCTGATGATGTCCAAATCTTCTTTCTGGTTAGCCCTGTCTCCAGTATCTAGACTTGGGTTTACTGGCTACAGATAATCACAATCTATTATGTACCTAAAATTGAATTCATCCTCTCCTATACTCCTACCTACTCTTTCACTAGCACTCTCTATTGTTGAATATATCTATCTATTGCTGAATATATTGGTATATCTATCTGTAAGCAAGAAATCTATCACCTTTGACTTTTCTTTCTTAGCATTTGCCATGTAGTTAACTACAAAGTGTTTTTTAGATTCTCTCTTACTGTTGTTCAAAATATGGGAGTCATGTATAATGCTGTTCCTTTCCCTTCTACTCATTTCCATTGTCTTCATGAAGTCCTCCCAGTTTCATCTACTAATAGTTCTTGAGTTCATGTATTGCTTAGTCTCTACTTACCTTTCCACCCTTACCTTCTTACTACATTTTCCCCCCATTTACTACATTCTCTCCTTACCTGCCATTCTTTCTGTAACCACAGAGCTCTTGCCTAGCAACTCCTGCTCAACCTTCAGACGTCAGTCCAGAGAACCACTTTTCAGGGACCTTTTCCTTGCACCACACTAGGTCAGTTTGTCCTGTTATAAATGGTCTTTGGCTCTAAAACCTATGAATCATCCATTAGACTTGGTAGCTAAATTTATTTTTGTGTGCCAAATTATTTGATTAATGTTTCCTACCAGAGTATAAAGACCACAATGACCGTAGTGGTCTTAAATTTTTGTTTGCCATTTCAGTCCTAGTGCCCAAAATGTCGTGTATGACTAAATATTTGCTGAATGAATAGATGGTCATTGTCACTGCCTTGGTGAAGCTAGGGATGCCATATTTTGCCATACATAATGCGCACCCACATTTTTGGCCCAAACTCTCAGGAAAAAAAAACTTTTAATTTTTACTGAAATAAATACTTCAATTATTTATTTATTTATTTATATTTAGGGGGGATGATTACCATATCCCAGGGTATTATTTTGCATATGGATATCGTTACTGCTTTCTAGAGTTACACTCTTAACACGTAAGCATAAATAAAAGAATTAAAAACATTTACATAGATACAGAATTAGTACTACCCATGTATAGTGAGCATCCTTATTTTTCCCTGAAAAACTTGAGCAAAAGGCACATTATACACGGCAAAATGTCATACCTCTTCTGAATTTCCACAACAGCCTGCTACCTAGGTCTCCCTAGCTTTTGCTTTCTAATGCATTCTATACATTCTAATACATTCTATTACATTCTACATGTTGTAGCCAGTGTGTTCCTTCTACACTAATACATTCTGTATGTTGTGATCAGCATGTTCCTTCTGCAATGCAAATATGTTCATGATAATCTGGTTATAAACATCCAATTGTTCTATATTGTCCTCAGGATAAAATTCATATGCCTTTTAGCCTCCTCTCTTACCACCTCTCCTTTTCACTCTGTGATTTAGCAATATTTAGCTCAAATATTTGTAGTTCCCCAGACACTCTCTGTGTATTTTTTCTGCCTGAAACTCTAGCCTCCTGTTCACCCTTTTCCCTGATTACTAGTTCCTTATTATGTGTCAGGTCTCAGCTTCAATGCTACCCTCTTCTCAAGTAAGATTGAATTAGGTTTCCCTGTTAGATATCTCTGTAGTGCCCTGCACCTGGTTATATAGCACATGTCACACTGTGTTGAAAACGCATATGAACTTGCCTTTTCCCGGACTGTTACTTTATGACTGTTTCAGAACCCAGCTTAGTGCCTTGTGCATAGTAAGTACTCAGCGAATTAACTCATGAATGCATCAGGCTTAAATACCAAGGTTTAGACATGGTTGGGGTTTAATCATTATTATAAACTTTTGAGTTTTAATAGTGGCTCCAATACTATTAGTGGCTCCAAATAGTTTATAATGCTGGGAAAATTATTTGCAACCAAGTGGTAGAAAAAATATGAATAGTATAAATAGGTTCAACTTCAGTAAAAATTATAGACATGTACATTGAAATAACATTGAGAAATCTTTTTTGCCTATTAGAGTCACAAGAATTATGACTCATAATATACAGGGTAAGCAGGCTATGAGAAAATAAATATCAGAGAATGTTGAAGAGTAAACGGGTATAACCTCTTTTGTTAAATGCTTTGAATTTTTGACCCAGAAATGCAGCTTCTAGATATGTGTCCTGTTGAAACTCACACATACTGAGGTGTCCTGAAGTACAGGTACACTGTTGTTCACTCCAGTATTGATTCTGCAAGTGGAGATTTGGATATAACCCAAATATTCACCACTAGGGTATTGCTAAAAGAAATGATACTGCATCCATATGAAGGAATCATATGTATATAGTTCTAAAAAATTAAGTAGTCATATATTGTATATGTGTAAATGGCTATGATGATTTAAATAAAGTTAGAGTATACGCTAGTATACGTGAGAAGTGTGTGTATTTAAAAATATATATATATCTGGAGGAACATTCACCAAACTGCTAGCAATGAATTACTAGAAGGTTGATTTTAAAAGATCTTTTCTGTAATGTTCACTTTTTTTTTTTAGCAATAAGTATGCGTTATAGTGATCAGAAAATCATATTTTAAAAAACAAAAAAGAGCTCATAATGTATGGTGTTAGGGTGCTATCACTTATAACTTTGAGCTGTACACTTCCTATTCCCCTTTTCCAATAGAATGCCCAGTGTTTACATGGGGACATTGCACAGTCACAACGAGAAATTACACTGAAAGGCTTCAGAGAAGGTAGTTTTAAAGTTTTGGTTGCAACCAATGTGGCTGCCCGTGGTTTGGACATTCCTGAGGTTGACCTGGTGATTCAGAGTTCTCCTCCACAGGTAGGAAATGAGATTTGATTTGGGGGAAATAGGAACAACTGTATAATTTACATTTTATTTACAAGATATTGCTTTGATTGTGAAGAATGTTATATGTTCTTGCTCTTTGACATTTTTTTTTGTCACCGTGGTCCTTAAATTGATCAGACTGTGATGCCTTTGTAAGTTGTTAACTTCAGTATTTGTGTTTGAAATATGCACTCATGCAAAGGAATTATAGAAAGTTGCCATATATATAAAGAGTCCTGGGATAAGGTGCATACTAAGGTTTTAAATCATAACCTCTTTGTCCCAAACTTGTACATAAGAATTCTTTGGAATGTCAAAAAAAGCAACAGGATTGAAATAAAAATATTATTGGTAGCAGTAGTTTTGTTATTAGTGTTATTATTTGGAGGCTGGAATAACTGTAACTTGCTAGTTTTTTTTTCAAGTATTACCTCTTTTATTTTTAGGATGTTGAGTCCTATATTCATCGCTCTGGACGCACAGGTAGAGCTGGCCGGACAGGGATTTGCATATGCTTTTATCAACCAAGAGAAAGAGGTCAACTGAGATATGTGGAACAAAAAGCAGTAAGTAGAGAGTTAAATTATTTCAGGCTTATTATCTAAATGGTGCCTTTAAAAAGAATTCTTTCTGTTACTTGTTCTCACAGATAAATCTTTATTCTCAGTTTAAGCCGCATTCGGATGTGAGAGGCATGTGGAAATCTAAATTTGTACTAGCTGCAAGACTTTGTTTTAATATAGCTTTTAATGTGGAGAGAGAAGAGCTGACTTTCTCATTTTTCTATTGAATTTCTCCCTCAATACTAAAATCAGAGGTGCATTGTGATTTTAGCAGTTCTTAGTGTTCAGCATTGTAATGGTGACTGTGACATTGTCCTGGTGTAACAGTGAAGCTTATATTGAGTAATGGTGCATAAGCCAGTTTCTATAAGAAAATATACTTTTTTTGTGGTATGGATTTTTTGTAATAGTTCACATTTCTAATTTTTATTTTTATTTATTTTATTATTTTTTAAAAGATTTTATTTATTTATCTTTAGAGGGAAAGGGAAGGAGAGAGGGAGAGAAACATCAATGTATGGTTGCCTTTCATGAGTCCCCTACTGGGAATTGGCCTGCAACCCAGGAATGTGCCCTGACCGGGAATCGAACCGCGATTGTCTGGTTCGCAAGCCCCTGCTCAATCCACTGAGCTATACCAGCCAGGGCACATTTTTTATTTTTATGGTGTGTTTTTATATACGCTTTTGTGTAGTTAGTAAAATGAGATAGGGTAATAAAAAAAAATTGATAGTGGTAAACAGCATTATTTTCTTTTTTGGGGATCAGCTTTATTTTGCAAGTGAAATTCCATGTTTGTAACTAAGGGGCAATTCAAAAAAATCTTTTTTCTTTCTAGATTTTGTGATTGGTGATTTATTAGAAAAAAAGCGTATCTTTTCATCTGCTAGGGCTTGGAAATCTCTTAAGTCCAAGAAATGGAAATTCAACAAACTATATTAATTTAGGATTAATTGTAAAGATTTCCATTTTTCTTTAATGTAATTCTTTCATTTTCAGGGAATTACTTTTAAACGTGTAGGTGTTCCTTCTACAATGGATTTAGTTAAATCTAAAAGCATGGATGCCATCAGGTATGCTTTCTGACCTTGCTGAATAATTTTTTCTTTTGTATTAGGCTATTCATCTTTAAGCTCTTCTAGTTCAAATATCAGAAAATTTAATCACCAGTTTTACCAGCAGATACTTAGTTATATTGAAATATAAAAACATTGCTCTTTCTTTTCCCATTTATTCCCTAAATATTTCCCTTCTCATTGACCAAGAAAATTTGCTATTTTTAAACCATAGGTCTCTGGCTTCCGTTTCTTATGCTGCTGTTGATTTTTTCCGACCATCAGCTCAGAGACTGATAGAAGAGAAAGGGGCAGTTGATGCACTGGCTGCAGCATTAGCCCATATCTCTGGAGCATCGAATTTTGAACCACGATCTTTGATTACCTCTGATAAGGTAGAAATTTGTGAAAAAAATTCCATGGGCTTGAAATAAACATTGAAGTTGAATCATAGCTATCTGTCTATCTAGAGAGAAATACAGGAAATCTTCACTTTGTACCACACTGTGTTATCTGAAACATGCATACCAAAACCTATTCTTTATTTTTTAAGTTGCTTTGGAACCATGCCAATTAAGAAATAAACTGTTAACATAGCACCATGCAAAGTAAGGATTGCCGGTATATGTCGAGGCCGTGTGTGTGTGTATGTGTGCGCGTAACATCATCTGACCTGGCCCCCTGCCATGTCAGTGTCAGATGTCAAACCACACCACAACTATTGCTTTCAAGTAGTTCAAAGATGTATTGTTACTCACTGTGGTGTAGGTGAGGGGAGTCACTGGGTGAGGGGCCCCATCAGAAAAAGAGCTCTCTGGTGTCTGGATGGAGAGAGAGTCAGAGAGAGAGTAGGTGGGAGAGGAGAGCAAAAGGAGCAGGAGAGGAAACTACATGTGACTCATGTGGTGTAGCATAAATGAGTACAGCTGGATCATCTGGTATTTTCCACTTGGCAGGTCTTAATGGTCTAGACAAATGTCATTTTGCTGAGAGTGACTTTTTTTAATAGGAATTTTTACTTAATGAGATAACTTAGTTTTAATTTTTTTAATTAAAAATATTTTTAATTGGTTTTAGAGCAAGAAAGAGGTGGGGAGAGAGAGTGAGAAACATCTCTGTTGTTCCACTTATTTATGCATTCATTGGTTCTCTCATTAAAGGAGAAAGAGACAGAAAGGGGGAGGGAGAGCCTCCCCCTTTCTGTCTCTTTCTCCTTTAATTGGTTGATTCTTGTACGTGCCGTGACTGGCGATCACACGTACAGCCTTGGTGTATTGGGCGTACTCTAACCAGTTGAGCTACCCAGCCATGACTAAGAGTGACTTAATGGCCAACTCTATCCCTCCCTTCCCTTCTGTTCCTCTCCTTCCCCTTCTTTCCCCTGTATGCATCTACTCCACTCTACCACTCCCCCCCTCCCCCATACACTAGAATGTAACCTCTATGAGAGGAAGGACTATTTACAACGGAAACTCTAGCACGTAGTAGAGTCTCTGGAACGTACATAGAGGGCACTCTGAAATACTTGTTAAATGAATGCCTCCATATGTCTTCTTCATGTTGATCCTTTTCCTGTAAAGCAATTTTTGCTCTTATAATAATAGTCCCTAAAATGTTTGAAGAGATTTATGTCCTCTTGTTTTTCTACTCTAAGTTAACTTAGATTATTTCAGAATTGACTTCCTTAATTCCTTACTACCTATCTTTTCTCTGATGCTCTAATGTCTTAAAGCATGAAGGTTAGAAATAAATATAGTCTTTACAGCAATGCATAAAAGAATGGTACTTTTACCCTGGCTGGGTAACTCAGTTACAGCGACGTCCCATAGCACCAAGGTTGCAAGTTCAGTCCCTGGTCAGGGCACATTTAAGAATCAACTGATGGCCCTGGCTGATGTAGCTCAGTGAATTGAGCGCGGACCTGCGAACCAGAGGATCGTGGTTCGATTCTCAGTCAGGGCACATGCCTGGGTTGCAGGCCAGTTCCCAACAGGGGTGCATGAGAGGCAACCATACATTGATGTTTCTCTCCCTCTCTCTTTCCCTTTCCTTCTAAAGATAAATAAATTAATAAATTTTAAAAAAAAGAATCAACTGATGAATGTATAAATAAGTGGAAAAATAAAGTCCACATTTCTCTTTCTCTCTCTTCATCTCTCTCTCTGAGTACATAAAGTTTTTTTTTAATGGTACCTTCAGTGATCTATAAATAATCATCTTCTATTGATATAGTTTCAAAGAAGTTATTTTTTTAGCAGTCATGTTATACTGTTGGCTGATAAGTTGGCATGTTTGTAAGGATTATAGAATTAGAACTTCATTGCAGCTGCTGCTGCTGCTGCTTTTTTCCCAAACACAATGTGACTTTTATTCCTCAAGGGGTTTGTGACCATAACTCTGGAAAGCCCAGAAGAAATACAGGATGTCAGCTGTGCTTGGAAAGAACTTAACAGAAAGCTGAGTAGTAATGCCGTGTCCCAAATTACCAGAATGTGCCTCCTGAAAGGAAATATGGTAGGCGTTTCTAGACAAGTAAAAAGCTTTTTAATAAACTACTGTAAATGTTTATGTAGACTAACAGGTTTTGTTTTTCTTTTCTTTTTTTGAAGTCTAAAATGGGATAAGTAATATTGTTTTCTCCATATGTTTGTTTCCAGTTGTAAATTTTGGGGAATTTATTTAAATAACCCATTGCCATATAAAACTAAGTTATTCTTCTTAGTTTGACTATCTAATTTCCAAGTTACTTATGTTTCTGCCCTTATATATTTATTGTGTGGCGTATGTGTTTATTCTGTAACACTAAGTATTTGGTTGGCCAAAAAGTCCATTAGGTTATTTCCGTAAAATAAAAGACACACTTTTCATTTTCACCAATAACTATTGATTTGGATATTTTGAGCATGTCGGCTATCTCCCGCTATTGGCATCTAGTAAGTAGGGGCCAAGGATGCTGCTAAGCATCTTTCGATGCATAAGATGGCTATGGATTGAGATGGCTATGGCTGTTCTTTGGCCACAGCAAAGAATTATTTGGCCGAAGTGTCAGTAGTACCAGAAACTTCACAAACCACTTTTGACATGTTCTGTCAGACACAGCACCTTCTCCATACACTGCACAGATGTTTTTTTGCTTTTCAATTGTTTTTTTTTTAGTGTATTTTATTGATTCTGTTATTACAGTTGTTCCTATTTTTCCCCCTCAGCAAGTTCTTTGGCTTCTCCATTTCCTATGCTATTCTAACTTCCCCATCTATTTTGTTCCTATCAGTTATGCTTCTTAATTCCTGCTACATTTCCCCATTCTCCCCCTTACCCCTCCCAGCTGATAACCTGCAAAATGATCTTCGCACCTATGATTCTGTTCCTGTTCTGGTTGTTTGCTTAGTTTTGTTTTGGTTTGGTTTTTTAAGATTTCTTTGTTGATAGTTGTAAATTTGTTGCCTTTTTAATGTTCATGGTTTTCATCTTCTTTTTCTTAAATAAATCTAACCTTTCCTGTAATAATGGTTTGGTGGTGATGAACTCCTTTAGCTTTACTTTGTGTGGGAAGCACTTTATCTACCCTTCCATTGTAAATGATAGCTTTGCTGGATAGAGTAATCTAAGTTAGGTTCTTGTTTTTCAGCATTTTGAATACTTCTTGCTAGTCCCTTCTTGCCTGCAGGTTCTTTTGAGAGATCCACTGATAGTCATATGGGAACTCCTTTGTAGGTAACTTTCTGTTTTTCTCTTGCTGCTTTTAAGATTCTTTCTTTAGCCCTGGCTGGTGTGGCTCAGTGGATTGAGCTCCAGCCTGCGAACTAAAGGGTCACAGGTTCAATTCCTAATCAGGGCACATGCCTAGGTTGCGGGCCAGGTACCCAGTAGCGGGTGTAATAGGCAACCACACGCTGATGTTTCTCTCCCTCTCTTTCTCCTTCCCTCCCCTCTCTCTAAAAATAAAAAAAAAAGATTCTCTCTTTATCTTTAACCTTTGGCATTTTAATTATGATGTGTCTTGGTGTGTTCCTTTTTAGATCCAACGTGTCTGGGAGTCTTTGCTTCCTAAACTTGTATGTCTATTTCCTTTGCCAAATTAGGAAAGTTTTCTTTCATTATTTTTTCAAATAAGTGTTCAATTTCTTGCTTTTCCTTTTCTCCTTCTGGTATCCCTATGATTCAGATGTTGGCACCTTTGGAGATGTTCCAGAAGTTCCTCAGCTTATCCTCGGTTTTTTTGGATTCTTGTTTCTACTTTTTGTTCTGGTTGAATATTTCTCTCTTCCTTCTGTTCCACATTGTTGTTTTGAATCCCAGTTTACTTCCCTTCTCTGTTGGTTTCCTGTGGATTATTCTTTATTTTACTTAGTGTGACCATTTCTTCCTTTATGTTGTTGCTATACACAAGGAGTTCTCTGAGCATCCTGATAACCATTGTTTTGAGATCTGCATCTGATAGATTGGCTATCTCCATTTCGCTTAATTCTTTTTCTGGGGTTTTGTTAAATTTTCTCTGTCTCAATTTAGCTGCGTCCCTGTGTTTGTTTCTGTATGTTAGGTAGAGCTGCTTTTACTCTCTGTCTTAGTAGCATGGCCTATATAGAAAAGGCACCTGTAAATTGTGTAGGTGGAGCCTCAAGTGATCACCAGAGCAGGGCAACCCTCTTCATTGCTTTGTGGCTGTGTGTTGGAGGATTCTGAGAGGGAACAATGCCACCTGGCTCCTGGCAGCATTTGCCCTGTTTCTGGTCACTTCACCCCCCCCTCCATATGTATGACTGGTGCCCTTCCAGCTGCTGCACCAGTGGTGAATCCTGGAGAGAGTGGGTCTGTGTACCTTCTAAGACTGTGCTGGTCCTTTAAGTGGCAAAAATCTGACAGTTTCTTCTGTTGCTCCAACTCTCCCACCCTAGTTTGTACACCCAGAGGTAATGGGGATCTGTCTTCCCCATGCTGGAACCCTGAGCTTTGTTGTTTGGCCTGGGTCTGGGATTACTCACTCCAAGATATCCTCCTGTTCATTCTGCCGCTACCACAGCCTTACCGCTCTACACCGCCTCTCTGCCCATCTCTGCGACTCTGTCCCTCCTACCGGTCTGAATGAATGTGTCTTCTTAAAATCCTTGTTTGTTGGACTTCCATACAGCTTGATTTTCTGACAGTTCTGGGTGTTAATAATTTTGAGATCTGGTTGTAATTCTTTCTATGGTTGCACAAGGAGGCAAAGTGTGTCTACCTACACCTCCATCTTGACCAGAAGTCTGAGTTGCATTTTTATCTTTCTTGACATAAAGAAGCATAATATGCCGAAAATATTACATATCTTCTTCCATTTTCCATATTAAAATGGCTGCACAAAAATTTATCAGTTTTGTATGTTTTTTTAAAAAGGCATGCTGATGTAATAGTTCTCACAATACAATCTAACAACATTGTCTCAAATAATGTTAAAGACAAGTAAGCATGACTAGAGCCATCCTATGAAAAAAACATAACAGACTTTTTGGTCAACCTAGTAACTTATGATTGCAACAGCTAAACATCTCTGTTATTTAGGGAATATGCAATATTGATTTTTTTAAAGATTTTATTTATCTTTTTAGAGGGGAAGGGTAGGAAAAAGAGGGAAAAAGAAACATCAGTGTGTGGTTGCCTCTCATGCGCTCCCACAGAGGACTTGGCCCACAACCCAGCCATGTGCCCTGAATGGGAATTGAACCAGCAACCCTTTGGTTCATAGGCTGGTGCTCAGTCCACTGAGCCACACCAACCAGGGCATAATATTGATTTTTGAGTAGCTTGCTATTGGTTGTTAAAGGGGATAATGAAGTGAACTAAGTATTTTAATACATTTATGAAATAGCAAAGTTAAACTCTCTATAATCTTAGTGACTGATATCTTCTAATGGTTTTGAGAAAAGATGTTATATTTATTCATCTAACTTTACTACAGAAGTTCCTTTTAACTTAGAATTTAATTACTTGATTGGGTATTGGAAATAATTATGTCAGAGTTTAATATTATTTACATTCAAAAAGATTTGTGGCAAGAATGAGACAAATATACATATTCAGGAAAATGTGGAGGGGAGGGAAAATATAATGAGATCATTCAGGCTAAGCTAGTTGCTGTACTTGAGTTTAAGTTAGCCTTCAACTTAACTGGCAATTAAGACCAAATAGGAAACTTGCATTACATCTGCTAAACACTTACATCTTGGATAATTTTTTATCTCCTAAACACTGCAGCTCTTTGGGAGTGAAACGTTCTGGCACTTAATTCTAAATGAATTTATTAGATAATTTTATCAAGGACATGGAACAACATTATTGTTGTGCTCTGGATTCTGGAGTACAAAAACTCTTCTTGAATATGCTCTGGATTCTTAGTAGTGGGAGATTCTGGTTAGATATTGTGTTTAGTTACTTTTCAGATTTAGAAAATACAATAAGCAGCCAGTCTGTCATTCATTATTGTGTATTAGCTGTTTTAATCCTGTAAGCCATCATGGAACACACCTGATCTTTTTTTTTTGTAGCGAATATAAAGATTACCATCAAGTATTAGCATATTAGTTGTAAAAAAAATCAACTCATGCATCTAAACAAAACTTTTTATTTTTGCCTTTAGGGTGTTTGCTTTGATGTTCCCACAGCTGAGTCGGAAAGGTTACAGGTATTTAATTTTTTTTTTATCTGTTAAAGAGTTGAGTATGTATCTCCGTAAGATAGGAATTAAGAACATAGTCACAACGTCATTGTCTATGGCCATACCACCCTGAACGTGCCTGATCTCGTCTGATCTCAGAAGCTAAGCAGGGTCGGGCCTGGTTAGTAGTTGGATGGGAGTCACAACGTCATTATCATGCCTAAATCATTTAACAGTTCCTTAGCATAAAAAAATCCATTCTGTATTATAATTTTAAATATTTTTATAACTAATTTCAAACTTAGAAAAAATAGAAATGTATAAAAATTCTCATGTACCCATCACTCAGCTTTAGCAATTATCAGCTCCTGACGTCTACTTCTATCCACTTTCCCACTCTTCTGTATTATACTTTTGAATCAAATTCTAGGTATTCTGTCATTTCAACCATAAATATTACCATATACTTATAATGCTAAGGACACTTTATTTCCCCTGTTGTCACCTAAGTATTTTTTAATATGTCTATGAGGCTCATACATTATATTTTGATGTTTCTTAAGTCTCTTTTAATCTATAGATTCTCCCTTTTTTCCCTCTCTTTTTAAAAAACTTTCTTATATGTTATCTGTTGAAGAAAGATTGTCCACTGGGTTCCTACAGTGTAGAATTTGTCTGTTGCACCCCTGTGCATATTTATCTACATAATTTGAAACAAGAGGGGAGTGTTCTTTTTGAGTCTTTCAGAAATTCAGAACATACTGTCAATACATTTCTGTGTCAACTGTACAGTTACTTACTTTGAATGGCCCCCTGACATTTGACCTTACGGGTGTCAAACTTTTCTTAATGTCATATTTTCTGACATTTAGATTATTTCCACTAACATACTATTATAAACAGGTCAATCCTGAAATTTATTGTAGCTAACTATACATTGCCATGTTTATCTCTTTAAGATGAATTTAAAAATTTTTTTACTTAATTGTTTTTGGAGAGAGGAGAAGGGAGGGAGATAGAGAGAAACGTCAGTGTGAGAGCAATATTTTGGCTGCTTCTCCCATGTGCCCCATCTGGGGACTGAATCCACAACCTAGGCATGTCTCCTGACCAGAAATTGAACCTGCGACCTTTTACTTTGTGGAATGACACCCAACCAACTGAGCCACACTGGTCAGGGCTCTAAAAGATTAATTTTTAAAGATGACTGCTTGGCCAAATGGTTTGTATATTTTGAAGGTTTTGGTCATATACTGCCGTCAGTGGTGTATATGGGTGTTTGTCTCTGCTCACTCTTAACAACAAGTTATTTTAGTATTAACTTCGCTTGGCAACTTATGATCACAATGAAGAACAGTTAATGTAGCAGGATATAACACAGTGATGCTCATATGAGCTGCTGATTTGTCTATGTTGAATTATCCTGATACCAAATCATTTTCAATGGCTATATTTTTTTAGTCCCAAGCTGGTGTTTATAGGTTTTAAGCTCCATTATCAGCTCTCACTCCTTGTGTCTGTTGATGTATCTACTGATAGCCATGCACTACTTATTAATGACTTGTTTTATGTGCAGAAATCAGTATCCTCTTTTCGAACGTATATTTAATAGTTTATATTTTGTTGTGTTTTTCTTTCATTATCATTTATCACCCTTATACCCTCATCCACTCCACCCCAGAATATATACATTGAATATGAATTGAGAGTCTCAAAATGGGCCTGAGAGTTTCGCCTAAGACTAAAACTTAGGAACTTTAGTGAATGTGCTTTCAATGGGTTTTTTCTTGGTTTTAAATTTGGTTTCACATATTTTGAATTTAATGGCCTTTAGCTACTATTAGCCAATAGGTATGAAAAAAACTATCTTGTACTCATGTGCTTGCTTTTATAGTTTTTATTTTGCGTTTATATTAATCCTATAAATTCCCCCAACAGGCAGAGTGGCATGATTCAGACTGGATACTGTCAGTGCCATCCAAGTTACCCGAAATCGAAGAATATTATGATGGAAACATGTCTTCTAATTCCAGACAGAGGAGTGGTTGGTCAGGTGGCCGGTCAGGTCGGTCAGGTCGGTCAGGTCGGTCAGGTGGTCGATCTGGTGGCCGGGCAGGCAGACAGAGTCGACAGGGAAGTCGGTCAGCAAGTCGACAAGATGGTAGAAGACGAAGTGGGAATAGAAATCGACCAAGAAGTGGGGGCCACAAACGGAGTTTTGACTGAGAATTTGATAGTTAATCTACCAGTGTGAGCGTACCTATTTCTGCCTAATCATGTACATTATCCACCAAAAATTAGATCATCATAGTTGAGGTATGTGTCTGCTACAAAGAAGTTGGTTGTATTTTTTTAAAAAGTATTTCACAAGAATGGATGTAAACAAATCTACTTATCCAGTTACACCTTTGAATAAAAAAACCTCCTTTTATTACATCTTTTTCACTATGTGTTAGAATTTTCCTGAATATAATCTTTAAAATTTTTTATAAAACATGGCAGTCTAATTAATCTTACTTAAGTTCATTTGCATTTTACAAAATGTGTATCTGTATTTAGATTAGTCCTTCCATAGGATATAACAAGAAATCCCTTCCACATTAAAGGGTCTTATAAACTGGTGATATGATTAGTTAGGTATAGCATTTTAAATTCTAGGTGTAAAAAGAAATTCTAGGTGTAGTTAATTAAAAGGGTGTGCAAGGAATGCACATTCAATAATTTATACAACAGATATTGTTGGACTGTATAGTAATCACTAGTGATATAGAGGTGAACAAGGCATGGTCACTGTCCTTAGTGAACTTCAATTCTAAATACAAGCCACTATGAATGAGATTAACACCTAGCTCCTAAAATGAAGGTAATACCTAACAGCTAAGGTGAAGGTAGGTATGAAAGCCAAGGACCTGGTTTGGGGACACCTAAGCAGTCTAAGGGTTAGGAAGGCTTTCAGAAGTGATGCTCAAGAGGAGAAGTAAAGTAAGTAGAAGTACCAGTTGATCTAGCCAGGTGTTATATGTATGATGAGGAAGAGGTCAGAGGACTTTGTAGACAGAGAAAACAGCATATGCAGAATCCCAAAGGCAAGAAATAATGTGGTAAGTCTAAGGATCTATAATTAGTTCAGTAAGGTTTGCATGTGACAAGCAGAGTAGAGGAAAAGGAGAAATAAGGAATTAATACAGAAGCCAGAGTTTAAAAACTGTACAGTAGTTTGGTAGGATAATCTTTACCTGTTCTTCCTTTTGGAGGGCAGATTATAACATGATGATTGGAGTTCACATTATTTGTGATTAGCCTTTCTGCTTAAGTAGAACTTGCAACACCCTGATTGCTCCTATCTGATTCTTCCTGGGAGGAAAAAAAAAGCTTGTGTGCATTTTGCATTGCAAAGGATTTCAAACATTCCCTGGAATGGAATAGTGGGAACCTTTAAGAAGATTTAAGTAAGGATTAACATGATGAGATTGGTGTTTTAGGAAGATTACTGGCTGCAATGAGGAGATTGGGTTGCAGACGGGCCAGACTGGAAGACAGGAGGTTTTTGGTTTGTTTGTTTGTTTTTTAATTGATTTTAAAGAGAGGAAGGGTGTTTGAGGGAGAGAGAAACAATTATTTGTTCTATGCATTTATTGGTTGGTTCTGGTATGTGCCCTGACCAGGGATTGAACCCGCAACCTTGGCATATTAGGATGACGCTCTAACCAACTGATCTACCTGGCCAGGGCCCAGAAGACTTCTTAAGATATTGTTAGAGCAGCCCTGGCTAGTGTGGCTCAGTGAATTGAGTGCTGGCCTGTGAACCAAAAGGTCACTGGTTTGATTCCCAGTTAGGGCACATGCCTGGGTTATAGGCCAGGTCCCCAGTGGGTGGGGGGCACAGGGTGACAGGTAACCGCACATTGATATTTCTCTCCCTTTCTTTCTCTCTCCCTTTCTCTCTATCTAAAAATAAATAAAATCTTTTAAAAAATTAAAGCTATTGTTAGAGCAGTGATTTTCAACCTGTGTGTTGCAAGAATTTTTAAATATATGTTATACCTGAGTATTTAGTCAGTGGCACTAATCTCTTTTTCCCTAATATTGTCAAATTAAAAAAATGACAACAGCCATCACAATAGCCATTTGGTGTGAATGCCACCTTGAAATATAAATATTAAATCATAAAACAAATTGCATCTTACTGGTCACATGGCATAATAAGGTTGCATCTGATTGGTTGATACCAGAAATCCTTATATACAGATATAGGCACCTGATTTTTTAAAAAGTCACTTTGGAGCAAAAAAAGGGTAGGTAATTACTATTGTTATTTTTTGTAAATCAATCAAATGATACCTGTTTTTGTTAAATTGGCAAAAAAGATATTTTTTGGTGTGCCGCAGAATTTTAGTAAGTAGTTTATGAGTGCCACAAAATGAAAAAGGTTGAAAATCATGTATTAGAATAATCCAAAATAGAGGTAATGGTGGTCTTCACTAATAATGATAGGTAATGCATTTTTAGCCATGAGAACCGAGGTGCTTGAAGAGGCTGTTGATGGCCCAGAACCACTCAGCTGGATGACACAGTGGAGTGAGGATTTGAACCAAGGGAAGTTAACACTCTAACCCACCGCACTAAGTTGTCACAGTGGACATTGAAAAACAGATTTCAGAGGTTTTTAAGAAGTAAAATTGTTAGGACTTAAGTGCTTTGAATTGGAAAATTAGAGGCAGAATGAAAACCTAGGTTTTTGTCACTGAGATAAGCTACTAGGACAAAGCAAGAAAAGCTGTGTAGGGAGAGGGAACATGATTAGTTCCGGAATAGATATATTTTAACATTGAGTATCTCGTGAAATATGTAAGAGGAGATAAACGGTAGGCAGTTGGATTTATAGATCTGAAGCAGGAGAGATCTGTCCTAAAGATTTAGTTATAATAAACAATAGTAATGTCATTAAGGTACTATGTGTGATTGTCCAGGGAAAGTATAGGACTGAGAAGGGAGAGGCTTTGTAAGCAAAAATTGAAAAATCAATGTTTCTCTCTCTCTCTCTAAAAATCCAATTAAAAAGTTCTTTTTAATGTTAAGGACTCAGCAAAAGTGATCAGAGTAATGGTCCATAGAGTCTGGACTTGCCTAGGAATTGAAGGGAAAATGGGGTTGATACTGGAGAGTGTAGAAGGACCAAGGGACTGAAGGTCAGTGAGGGATTCTGAATTTAGGTGCAGAGAACTAAGAGACACACCAATATGATTACTGAATAGCAGAGAAAAGGGGATCCCATTAAGGGTTAAGTAGAAGAGGATAGAAAGCCCAGAAATGTGAGTCTTTCAGAGGAATCAGTAGATGAGCCTGAATTCATTGGACCTGGCAAAAAAGACGTTTGGTGTGAAGAACAACCATATGAATCTACTGATGAGAGGAGAAGCCATTTAGCAGTGAGGTCAGCAGGAAGTGGGAAATGAAGTAGGGACAAAAAAATGAACACGTCTTGCAGAAATTTGACTGAATAGGGAAGAATATAGCCGAACATAGAAGACAGGATATGAGATCACAGTAAGAATTGTGTCTTGGGAGGGGTTGTTGGGCATGAGGAAATTTGGGCATAGTAAAATATTAATATGGAAAGGAGGGAGGAAGAGAAAATATATGATGGAGGAAAATCCCTATGAAGATCCAGTGGGATGGGATCAAGCACACATGAGATTTTAGCCTTAGATGGTAGAAGCACATCTGTAACATTTTAAGTACATCAGGAAGAAAGTGATTGTCATGCAGGTGAGTTTTAAGGTTTTAGGGGAAAAAAACAGGGAGTGCCTGCTTCCTGTCTTCTTTTTTTTCCTTGCATCATCTAAAGGTGGAGAGGGAAGTACTAGGTTTGAGGAAAGTGGAGAAACGCTGAAGTATGAAATACAGAACAAGATGGAGAACTCACTAGGCAAACTGAGGGTTACAGTTAGCTTTGAGGGTCGCGTTGAGAGACAGTATGTAGTGGCAGCAGTCAGAGTGATCCAACGGTTGCCTATAGCAACACTTGGCATTCTGTTGTAGAGAGGGAGACGGGAGGAGGCAGTTGACTGATCTAGGATTGGGGTTTTGCTCTGTGCACTAAAAGGATGACAAACTGAAAAGGTTAAGAACTCTCCCTGGCTGGGTAGCTCAATTGGTGAGGGCATCATCTTGATATCCCAAGGTTGCAGGTTTGAGACCCCATTAGGGCACGTACAACCAATGAATATATAAATAAGGAACAACAAGTTGATGGATTTTTTTCTCCCTCTCTCTCTAAAAATTAATTTTTTTAATGTTAAGGACTCATGAAAAGTGACCAGAGTAATGGTCCACAGAGTCTAGACTGCCTAGGGATTGAAGTGAAGACGGGGTTGATAATGGAGTTTAGAAGGGCCAAGGGACTGAAGGTCAGTGAATGATTCTGAATTTGAAATTTCACAAGTATAGCAGTTGGGAAGACAGGTGCAGGGTGTGATAGTGGGCCTGCTGGGGGCAAAGGATATTTCAGTTGAGGTGGTCAAAGAACTGAAGCCACAGCTTATGTGGATAGTTTTCATGGGCAATGAAGCCTCAGAATGAAAACAAACCAGAAGTGAGGAAGGGAGAAGCCAGGTAGCCAAATACAATGAATAGTGGGGCTTGTTAAATTACCTGAATTAGGAGGGGTATGGGGTGATAATACAACGTACCTTCAAAGAGAAAGTGTTTATATGAGAGTGAAGGAGTAATAGTTTGCAGAAGAGGACACTGACACAGGCAGGGCGCATGGAATGTGAGGGAATGAGCAGCATACTCGTGTACATGAGGAAGCTGCCAAGGGAGCACTTTTCAGGAAGAGCCAGGTTTCATTTAAGTCCAGATGTAGGGAAGTACTCTCGGTGCTGGACTGAGAAAGGAGGAAATTCAGATGAACAGGCTCTTGATAACTATGACAGGGCAAAAATCTCAGCTGGATCTGATTTGAATAACTGTGAGCTCTGGATTTATACCCAAGATGAAATAGGATCTCTGTTTCTAGGTGCATGAGCACCAGTACTTGAGTCAGAATGTGTTGTGTGTGTATAATGTCCCAGGTACTATGCTTGGGGTACAAAGGCGAATTAGGGGTGCTGAGTCTCTGCCTGCAGGAGCTCAGAATCTATTGACACAATTGGACACAGAAACTCCATGGCAGTGACTAAATGGAATGATTTGAGAGCTCTGCACAAGGGCACCTAGCCCCACAAAAAGATTTTGAATATGATGAGTGCACATGAATTTAGTCAGGTGAAAGGGATGGGAAAATGGATAGAGACACAATAAGCTAGTAAAACAGCTTTTTAGTAAAACAGCAAGGTTTAAATATGGCAAATGATAAATAGCTTTTATTGATGGGATCTTCACTAAGGGGAAAGCAGTAATGAGAGCACAGCAACTGTCATATCTTGGAATGTTTCATAGGCTTTGTTTTGGCCACTGAAGTGTTCAGGAAAGAAAGTGAAAAAAGATAAGCATGTAGGTAAATGTCAGCAGGGTGGAGATGCATTTAAGGGGTCTTCTTGCTAAAGGTTGGCTTCCCTATAAATAAGGAAAGTGAGGTAGGTCCTTAAAAGATTAAATCATAGCTTTCCATGTCTTCTGGAACAAGGGAGAGGCAGGGCAAATTCCTCACCAAAATCTCAGCTTTAGGCTGCATTCGGCCCCTTACCTTTATTCTGCTCCTTCCTCAGAGCCCAGCACTTCATGGTACCACTTTTTGGTCATTGAGAACCTCCAGTTTGATACTCTCTGGCCAGCTATTGGAACTTGAATCAGTTGCTTCGTTCTTCAGTTTTTGAATTAGTAAATAATGTTTTATTACCTTCAGCATTAGTATTTGAATAATGAATTCACATTTATTCATTTATTTTTTTTAATTGATAGATTGACTTTTAGAAAGAGAGGGAAACATGAATTTGTTGTTCTATTTATTTATTCACTGGTTGCTTCTTCTATGTGCCCTGACTGGGGATGGAACCTGCAACCTTGGTGTATTAGGACAACACTCTAACTCAGCAATCCCCAACCTTTTTGGCACCAGGGACTGGTTTTGTGGGAGACAGTTTTTCCCCAGATGGGGGTGGGGGGATGGCTTTATAGCCTGCCAACAGATGCCACTTAATTGTCACTTGCCACTCACTGATAGGGTTTTGATATGAGTCCACAAGCAGTTGATTTATTGTGGTCTCTGTGCAGTCAAACCTCTCTGCTGCTGATGATCTGTATTTGCAGCCGCTGCGCCCCAGCACTAGCCTCACCGCCTCAGCTCCACCTCAGATCACCAGGCATTAGATCCTCAGAAGGAGCGTGCAACCTAGATCCCTCACATGCTCAGTTCACAGTAGGGTTCACACTCCTATGAGAATCGAGTGCTGCTGCTGCCCTAATAGAAGATGGAGCTCAGGCAGTAATGCAGATGAAGCTTGGATAGCTTGCTCACCCGCCTGCCCACCTGCTGCTTACCTCCTGCTCTGTGACCCAGTTCCTAACAGGCCACAGGTGGTACCAGTCTGTGGCCCTGGGGTTGGGGACCCCTGCTCTAACTGACTCAACTACCTGTCCAGGGCTTTTTAAATTTTTTATTGCATTTATTGGGGTGATATTGGTTAATAAAATTACATAGCTTTCAGATGTACAATTCTTTTTTTTTTTTTGTTAGATATTATTCTTTTTTTTAATTCATCTTTAGAGGGGGGAGGGAAGGAAAGGAGAGAGGGAGAGAAACATAAATGTATGGTTGCCTCTCGTGCATCCTCTGCTGGGAACTGGCCTGCATTCCAGGCATGTGCCCTGGCTGGGAATCGAACTGCGATTGTGTGGTTCGCAGGTTCGTGCTCAATCCACTGAGCTACACCAGTCAGGGCTATTATTTATTTTTAGAGGGAGGGGAAGGGAAGGAAAAAGAAAGGGAAAGAAACATCGATGTGTGAGATACATCAACTGGTTCCCTCTTGCACACCCCCAACTGGAGACCTGGCCCACAACCCAGGCACAGGCCCTGACCCGGATTAAAACCAGCAACCTTTAGGTTTGCAGGCTGGTGCTCAATCCCCTGAGCCACACCAGCCAGGGCTCAGGTGTACAATTCTATAATACATCACCTGTATATTGTATTGTGTGTTCACCACCAAAATCAAATCTTCTGTCACCGTTACCCCACCTATAATGAGTTCACGTTTAGATGTGAATGCTGAGAGCCTCCTCTCACAGTGTTTTTGTTTTGTATATTTTGGAGTTATGCTTAATAAGTTTTTTTAAGATTTTAAAATTATTATTATTATTTATTTATCTTTAGAGGGGAAGGGAAGGAGAGAGGGAGAGAAATACCAATGTATGGTTGCCTCTCATGTATCCTCTGCCGGGAACTGGCCTGCAACCCAGGCACGTGCCCTGACTGGGAATCGAACCATGATCCTTTGGTTCGCAGGCCCACACTCAATCCACTGAGCTACACCAGCCAGGGCGCTCATTAAGTTTTTAAAGCCACATTTTTTTTTATATTAGTAATATATGTCCATTGTTGAAAAATTAAAAAAAATAGAAAATGAATGGAATAAAAGCTACCCATAATCAACACATCACTCAGAGATAATTACTGCAAATATTTTGTTGTGTAGATGTGAATTCATTGTGTGTGTACAAGTATGTATACATATTTTTTGCAATAAATTATCCCCTTAGTTTTATGAAAATATTATAGATCATCTACATCAAAGGAAACTAGTCTGGTGTAGTTTATGTAGTTTAATATCCAAGAACTTCACATTTCCTATCAAATGTATATAAAATTCATCTTCTACTTGTTACTAAATTTTATACTGATGACTAGATTCAATACAGTAGTTTGGTCGCCTTTGAACCAAAAAGGGCCCTTGGCACGTTTCCTCTTAAAATTTTGGCCTTGTGCCTGTGTGCAGGTATGTTACAAAGGAGCTTACATATTTTATAAGCCTTGACAACATTTTTCCTTTAGTAGTGTTGGGAGCTCACACACTTGTTGAACATGTTAATAAAAATGTCCTTATACTATCTTTTTAAAAGATTTTATTTATTTTTAGAGAGATGAGAAGGAAGGGACAAAGAGAGAAAGGAACACTGATGTGCGAGTACATTGATTGGTTTCCTCTCACAAGCTCCCAACCAGGGACCTGGCCTGCAACCCAGGCGTGTGCTTGGACTGGGAATCAAACCAGTGACCTTTTGGTTCATAGGCCAGCACTCAATCCATTCAGCCACACCAGCCAGGGCTCCTTATACTATTTATAACAGTATCACACACAGCAGTATCACGTTTTGTGGTTTATCAACCAGACTGTGGTTTATCAACTTGAGGCAGGGAATGGTCCCTTCCTTATGTCTCTAAAGTCTGCAGTACAATCCCAAAGTCCCAGATGCAGCAATCTTTTGGTTTGCAGGACAAGACTCAATCTACTGAACCACACCAGTCATGGTGACACAATGCCATTTTAATGATCAATCAGCATTTCTATGACAGGCTTCTATGTACCAGGCACTGTCTGAAATCTTAAGGATACAAAGATGGATAAATCAAGGCTCCTGGCTCAAGCACATCCCAGAGAATATGTTACACAAATTTATCTGTTAAAATTTGAGGCTGAAAAGTCAAATAATAGTTTATGTGAAACATGGCATTTTTCCTCTTTAAACTGTCATTTTAAAGATTTTATTTAGAAGTGAAGATGAAAGAGGGAGAGATTGGAAAATATAAAGATTAAATTTAAAAAGTAATTTAAAAATTAAAACGGGAGAGCAACATTCATGTATGAGAGACACATTGATCAGTTGCCTCTCACACTCTTACACCTACCCCCCAACCAGAGACATGGCCCACAACCCAGGCATGTGCCCTGACTGGGAATTGAACTAGTGACCTTGTGGTTTGCAGGCTGGCACTTGGTCCACTGAGCCACACCAGCCACAACTAAACTGTCATGTTAAACATGTGTCATTAAATTAGTCTTGTGAAATACAGAAATAAAACTTGCAGCATTTTCTTTTGTCAGAAAATGATTGCATTTGAATTTTCTAGACACCTTAACACTGCTGAGCTTTCACTTATTCTGCTCTTTGTGCCAGGCACTGCTGACCCCTTTTCATTCATTATCTTAATTTTCTTAAAGGATGAGTTAGGTTTTGTTATACCCATTTCATGCCGGAGAAATTCGGGTAATATGTACAAATCACAGCAAATAGTGTAGGTTTTCAAAGGCAAGTTTTCAAAGCCAGCCATGATTTCAACCCATTTTAAAAAAACGTATTTATTGATTTTATAAAGAGAAAAAAATCAATTTGCTGTTCCACTCACTGATGCATTCATTAGTTAATTCTTTTGTGTGCCCTAATCCAGGATTGAACCCCCAACTTCGGTGTATTGGGAGGATGCTCTTACCAAATGAGCTACCTTGCCAGGGCCTTAACCCATCTTTGAAAATGATTTTATGAATTGGCTCCCAATTCTTTGGATTACTGCTTCAGAGGAAGTTTAGGAAATTCCTTGAGTGCATGAATAAATGACCAGACCCTGCTGAATTCTAGTTCTACACCAAGCTTGTGAGTCTGGGTACTTCCTTTCAGAGTAGACAAAATTATCAAGAATACACGTATCGCGAACCTGTTCATGATAATCTAAAGCAGGGGTCCCCAACCCTGCGGCTGTGGACCGGTCCCTGGCCTATTAGGAACCGGGCCACACAGCAGGAAGTGAGCGGCGGGCAAGTGAGCGAACCAGTTCCTGGTGCCAAAAAGGTTGGGAACTGCTGATCTAAAGCATAGAAAAGGCGCCACTAAATAGCAACTACAAGTCTGTATTTATCAGGCCAGGCAGAGGAAGAATCTGGCCAGTGTTTGAATACAAAGCCAACCTTTGTGGTTCCTTCCAGTTCTAGCCTACTGTACAAACGCGCTACTTCAGGGGCTGAGGTAGCCAAACACTGGTACAGTGAACCACTCGTGCTTACGAATTACCACGTGCGGCTCCACCTCCCTACTACTTCCTTTTTCCGGGGGGGAAATGCTTTGCTACCGGAAGTGACGAAGCTGGGTGGACTGAAGGGTTAGGGCTCTCTCTTTCTGTCCACGAGGTGGTTGAGATCGGCAGGCCTGCGCAGCTTGTGCTTGAATGATGCCAGGGAAACTCCTTAGTGACACGGATTTGGAATCAGACGCAGCCATGGGAAAAATGGAGACACCGCGGAAACAAAATCAGAAGGTATCCTCTAGGGCGGAGGGTCTTGGGGGCAAGACAAGACAGGGAAGCCGGGAGCTGAGAGGCGCAGGGCCCTGTCGGGGGATTCGTGGAGCGCGGCGCGGGCCTGGCTTGTCCAGAGATTCGCGTGGGTCTCAGCCAAAAGGGCGTCTGGGAGTAGTGTCCTCCGTGGACCGTGGGCGCCCCGCCGCGCTCCGGGAGCCCCCAGCCGGGGCTGGGAGAGATCGGAACTCAAGGGAGCGCCAGGTGTTCCACGTGGTCCCGGAGTCTGGATGTCCCGCAGCAGGTGCAGAGAGTTGGATGTTCACGGTTAGGCCCCACGTTCTGGCTCAAGCTCAGACCTAACTCCCGGCGAGTCGCGTGCGAGGAGGAGAATTTTAAGTCAAGGTAGGTAGGGACTGACGCTTTAGACTAGACTGCACACGTGCGCGGCGTAAGCAGTGACATTTTGATCCTAGTGAGGGAGGTATCGTTTTCCGGTAGGCAGCACTTAAGAAAATGAAGTAATTCAGTTCCTCGTAATGTTTATTGACCAGATTACCCATGGAAATGTAAAGCTCTGTTGCAGCGCTAACTGGACACCAGTTTTTGAGATAGCCCAGCAGAGTGCAGTAGTCTCTTCACCTTGTCAGCTGTCTGCCTCCTTGCTGTTGCTTCTTTAAATAGTGGTTTCACTGTGACTGAGTCCGTTCTGAGATAAGGTCGGTGGGAACAAAAATTGCCCCTGAACTTGTGTTGTATATGACTTTTTTTGCTGTTTCTGGGTCTTTTTGATGGTAAGTTTTACAACTGTAGTATTTTGGCCTTGTAGGAAGTGGAGGGACCACAGACTTGCTTCACGGATGGGAGGACATTTCACTGGCTTTACCTGCTCTGCATCAGTGAACTTGTCCAGTTGTGAGGTGCTCAAATTAGGAGGGACATGACTAAACTCCATTATATTACAAAGGAGACCACCAGAATGGGAAATGCACTCTTATTTGGCGGAACCACGTGACTAAAGCTGAAGTCCTGCGGTGGGGGGAAAGGGAGAGCAGGTTACTTTTCAGGTGTCTGAAGGTCGGTCACGTGGGAGAGATTACCCTCATCCATGAGTTGAGAGCAGAGGCCAGGCTTGAAGTTTTTAGGGAGGCAGATATAGCTGAATGTAATAGTCTCTGTACTTCTGGGATTGTGTTGGGGCTCTCCCAGGAGGTTTTAACAAGTGTGCCACCTAATTGTTTTCAGTGATATTAAGTAATTAAGCTTTCAGTAATATGAAAAGTTGGAAGTCAGACATTTCTGGTAGGAGCCATAGTCCGCTTTGGTTTTGAGGTTTCACTTATTCCATGTCCTTGTAACTCGTGCTTCCTTTTTCCCCCTTCTTCTTTAAATTAGATTCATCTTTTTAAAACATTTTATTTATTTATTTTCAGAGAGGGGGAAGGGAGGGAGAAAGAGGAGGAGAGCAACACTGATGTGCCAGCGATACGATGATGTGCCAGCAATACATTGATCAGTTGCCTCTTGCACACCCCGAACTGGGGACCTGGCCAGCAACCCAGGCATGTGCCTGACTGGGAATTGAACTGGTGGCCTTTTGGTTCTCAGGCCCGTGCTCATTCCACTGGGCCACACCAACCAGTGCAGATTCATCTTTTTTATATGTGCATTGATAGATTGTGAGTTTTTACAGCTTTTTGGTACAGGAAGTGTCTCTGTAAATTCATTTGCACTTGTGAGATGGTCAAGACAGATACTGTGAATCCTTGTTTTACCTGTACAGGAATTCTAGGGAAGAAAAGTCTGCCTAACATCTTCCATCTGTGGACATACATGGCCTTATTTCTCTTGCCAGAATTAAACTGTACTTGATCACTTGCTACATTGTATTTAGTTTAGAGCCTGTTGGAGCATCATCCCATGAGCCACCTCAAATTCTTTGTGAAAATTTAATTTTACTTGTTTGACCAGCATGAATTGAGTGGTTACTAAGGCATTCTCTTCTAAGCGAATGGAATTATTGATCTATCGATACTATCTCCATATAGCTAAGAAATAGTACTAAAAAGCATATTGTTTGATTTTTGCCTTATTAATGCTGAGCGAAAGTACAAATGTTGAAAAATGCCCCATAATTGTGTGATTTGGAAGTAATCTAGAATTGATGCGTTACACAAATTTATCAGATGCTTTGTTCAGTGTTTGTTTTCTTCATTGATTTTTTTCTTTTTAGAAAGGTAGAAAAGAGAAGCCAAAATCTAATAAGACTGAAAAGGCAACAGAAGAAATGGAAGAAGCTATTTCCCCCAAAGTTAAAAAAGTTAAAAAGAAAGTAGGGCCCTCTGAGGTTGACATGAATTCTCCTAAATCCAAAAAGGAAAAAATTAAAGAGGAGCCGTCTGAAGATGATGTGATTTCTCCTAAAATCAAAAGTGTAAAAAAACCCAAAGAACCCATGGAAAAGAAAGATATTTCTTCTAAAACCAAAAAAGTTAAAAAAAGTGAGGAGCCTTCTGAAGAAGAATTAGGTGCTCCTAAACCCAAAAAGATGAAGAAAGAAAAAGAAATGAATGGAGAAATTGGGGAGAAAATCTCCAAAGTAAAGAATGGATTCTCTTTTTCTGGACCTGACTCTAACACCAGTGAAGCTGCCAGTGAAGAAAGTAACAGTGAGTTGGAGCAGGTAAGGTTTAGCTATGTAGAATGTATCTCTCATCATAGTCAAGATCAGGAGGAGGGTTTTCAGTGTTGAGGGAGAGGGGAAGAATGGGGGAGAGGTGTAGAGAATAAGAAGCATAATTGGTTGGCACGAATAGACAGGGGGAGGTTAGGAATAGTATAGGAAACAGAAGCCAAAGAACTGATATGCACAGCCCGTGGACATGAACTAAGGTGGGGGTGATGCTTGAGGGTAGGGGTGTTGTGGGTGGAGAGGGGATAAAAGGGAGGAAAAAATTGGGAAAACTGTAATAGCATAATCAATAAAATATACTTTAAAAAAGATAAATAAGTAGGTAATTGCTACATATTATTTAGTCAAGGGAGGAAATTTGATTTGTGGGCTTGTAATAGAGTCCTTTTGTCTGCCTCCGTTTGGCGTAAACAGATCTGTTTAAGTTTGGGAAAAATCTCTCCTGACAAGGTTAGCTTATTTGCAAGTCAGAAATCAACAGGAAGGATATAGTCATGCAAATGGGCCCTAGCTTCCCTCTGAGGGGTTTCACCAATAAATCACAGTTAAGTAGGACCACTAAGTCTCTTCGTTTAGGCCATTTACTAACTTGAACGGGATGATTAAATAAATGTGCCCACTTGGAAGCCAATTCTGGCAGCTTTCAAAAAGACAGCAAAGAAAAATCCTGATTCTAATAAACAGTTTTCTGTTTGATGTAGATCTTGATCAACATTTAAGAATTTTTCCATTATAAAAAATAATATGTGATTCAGAGAATTTAGGAAATTTGGAAATTTATTTTTAAAAAGTTCCCCTCCAAAAAATTAAAATTAAAGAAGGCTCCCTAAAATTTCTGCACTCAGTAATTTGGTGAATATTAAACATTTTCAGGTACAGAGGTAACCTATTGAATTTCAATACTTCCTTGCTGTACTTTTTATATGTGGAATTTTTTTTTTGTCAGATTAGGATTGTACTGTATACAATCTTGTATACTGACTTTTCCATTTTTATATAAGCATTTCCCACACTTTAATTTTTTTCTTTTAATCCTCACCTGAGGGCGTGTTTGTTATTCATTTTAGAGAGAGGAAGGAGAGGAGAGAGAGAGAAATAATCAATGTGAGAGAGAAACATCAGTTGGTTGCGCCCGTAGGTGCCCTACCAGGGATCGAACCCACAGTCTTTGGTGCGTGGCACGACACTCCAACCTGTTGAGCAACCAAGCCAGGGCTCCCCCACTTTCATAAAATATTTAATTTATTTTAATTATTTTATTTATTATTGTTAAATAAAAATATTACATCTTAATGGTTACATGATGCATTATATACATGTCTAGAGATTGACATGATTATTTCTTTGTTGGGCATTCAGGTTTTTTACTAACAAGTGATGTCACTTTTTGCTCCGTGTTTGCTGTGGATGTGCAGGAGCGAAAAGGGCTAATGACCTTGCAACAACAGTGCATCCGTTTGGAATGGCAGTGGGTGGTTCTTAGTTGAGACTGTGTCTGCCTTCACTAGCCATATATTGTACATGTGTAGTATATACTTGCTACAGATTTTTCTTTTGGGGTCTTGTAGATTATTTCCTGTTTTAGAGCTTGATTTACCTACAAAGAATTTTATGTCTTTTTGGTTGATTGAGAAGAGGTGTTTTAGAATACACTCTTTACTTTCCTTTTTCACAAGTCTTCTATATATTAATCAGTTGGGGTAAACTTACTGATTTCTTCCTGTGGCCCTTTACTTGACAGGAAATACCTGTGGAACAAAAAGAAGGTGCTTTCTCTAATTTCCCCATATCTGAAGAGACCATTAAACTTCTCAAAGGTAATAGTCTTAGAAATATTGTATAAATTTGGACATGTTATTTGGAAGCACTCTGCTGGGGTTTTTTGTTTTGTTTTTGTTTTTAAGATTTTATTTATTTACTTTTAGAGAGGGGAAGGGAGGGAAACATCAATGTACAGTTGCCTTTCACAAGCCCCCCACTGGGGACCTGGCCTGCAACCCAGGCATATATGCCCTGACTGGGAATTGAACCAGCCACCCTTTGGTTCCCAGATGGGCATTAAATCCACTGAGCCACACCAACCAGGGCTCTGCTGTATTTTTTGAGATGAACTAGGATATGTGTTTCTTTTTTAAGATTAAAAAAAACTTTATTATATTTTTCATTACCATTTAGTCCTCTTATAACCCCTCCCCTCTTTTAAGATTTTATTTATTTTAGAGAGGGGAAGGGAAGGAGAGAGGGAGAGAAACATCAGTGTGTGGTTGCCTCTTGTGCACCCCCTAATGGGGACCTGGCCACAACCCAGGCACATTCCCTGACTGGGAATCAAACCAGTGACCCTTTGGTGCTCAGCCCCATGCTAAATCCACTGAGCTACACCAGCCGGGGCCATTAGTTGATTGATTCGTGTATGTGCTCTGATAGGGGATCAAACCCACAGTCCTGGTGTATCAGGACAACACTAACCAATTAGCTACCTGGCCAGGGCTCTTCCACTTCTTAAGGTATCTCTAGGTTAATCATACCAGCCTGGCTTAGAATTCATCTCAGCGGTGTGCCTGTGAATGAGCTAGGTGGTCACAGATGCTCAGCTCGGTGTTTTCTGAAACAGGTGTGGCACAGTTTGGACTTTGCCTGAAAGTACCTGGTATTCAGGCTTATACTGACCTGTGAGTGAGATTTCATGGCAAGTGACTTAATCTCTTAAGATAGTAGATACTTACTGCAATTTGTGCTCTAAATTTTGTTGATATTTTTTAGTCAAGTGGATTCTTCACTACCAGAAGATATTCGAACCTGACTTTGTAATGTTGATCAGAAGGCTGATAACATGGTTAATTTGTTTGCAGCCCGTGGGGTGACCTTCCTGTTTCCTATACAAGCAAAGACATTTTACCACGTGTATAGTGGAAAAGATTTAATTGCACAAGCACGGACAGGAACTGGGAAGACATTCTCCTTTGCCATCCCTTTGATTGAGAAGCTTCTGGGAGAATTGCAAGACCGGAAGAGAGGCCGTGCACCTCAGGTAACTCTTCGCTTTAACGCAGACCTCAGGGGCTCCAAATCCACACAGGAAAAAACATTTCTTGGGTATTGTTTACAAACCCTACTGTTCTTTATTGGGTTCTCCTTAAAGCCTTTTTGAGTATTGAAAGCGTTGGCCACTAATCCTATGTATTTAAACATTGTAATCCACTTCCTGGTTGTGGTCACCTGTATTATTTATTAATGTTCATCAAGTTCCTTTCAAACTATTAAGTGTCTCTAGGGCTCACAGGTTTGATCAAGTGTCTTTTTTGCCTTTTTGCCATTTTTGCTTTTAGTAGAGATGCATGAATAGGAGGAGAGGCCGAGCCTCCTTCCCTCACCGAAATGCATGTCAATCACTGGAATGCATGTTGGCTGGGGGTTCTTGTACCCGAATTCCTGGCTCCATCTCACTTGTTCACCACTTTGTGTGCCTGTGTCCTGCCTCATTAGTTTATTTGTGTACCGTCCTGTTAACAACTACAGCAGTAAATGAACTATTCTGGCACCTAGTGGGTAATCGGTCGATACTTGTTGGATGAACGTATTAGGTTGTTCCCCTTAAATCATATTGGTGTCACGTTGTTACTCTACCAGAGGATCTACAGTGGTTTTGTGTTGTGTGCACTGTCCGTCGAACTCAGGCCTTTCCAGGGTTCGAAGCCCCTCGTCATGCTGGCCCTGTCTTCCTTGTTTGACTCCCATTCTACTTCAGATGCTCTGTGGCACAGAGGTTCAGACCATGGGGTTGGGGCCTGACTCTGAATTTAAATCCAGGCTTGGCCTCTTCTTAGCCTTTGGTTTTAGAAATCTCTGTGTATTTTGTTATAGGTGTCATAGTGCAATTATATAATTGTAAGTATTATAGACAAATAACTTGTGAGGATTAAATGAGAATAATGCATATTAAACATTTAGTAGGACCTGAGACACAGTAAAAGCACAAGTATTAGCTAACGGTATCGGCAGTATTACCCCTTGCTCCAGTTGTTCCTTCCCTGGCATGCTGTTCTTTAAGCGCTAGCAGTGCCCTGACACTTTCCGCAGCTCCTTCAGCCTGCTCTGTGCAGCCCTCCTGGAGCTCCGTGCTTTGCATACCTACTCTTCTTCTGAGTGGGAAGGTCATAATCTTTTCTTCTGTGTAGGTTTGTTGGGAACTGCATTTTATGATCCTTCCACTTACCCAGCATATTACAAAGCACATAATAAGATGTTTTGAAACTACTTGTTAGGATGAGGGAGGCCTTCTGGTGAATTCCAGATGTGTTAAGAAACAAATACTGCATAATGCTATGAATTCAGTTTAGTTTTAGTTTTTTGTGTTATTGTTTGTTTGTTTGTTTTCAGGTACTGGTTCTCGCACCCACAAGGGAATTGGCAAATCAAGTAAGCAAAGACTTCACTGACATCACAAAAAAGTTGGCAGTGGCTTGTTTTTATGGCGGAACTCCCTACGGAGGTCAAAGTAAGTAAATCTGAAAGTGAGGGAAGGAAGGTGCCATTTGTCGTTGGATGCCCTGGCTGGCTCTAACCTTGACATCCGGGGCTTTTCCTGGTCTAGTCATTCTGGTGGTTTTCTTTGTTATTTTGTTTAAAGATGGTCAGTAACATGGTACTGCATGATGCTGTTGTCAAGTCCATTTATTCCTGGGAGTTTTGTGGTATCTGTGTTTATCTAGAGGTTACAGAGATATCTCACTGGACTCAAGGGCCTTTGAAACTAGAAAGTCAGAACTCAAGGTTACTCTTTTTAATTTGTCCAGGACCTTGGGTCTCTGCCTCTTCTCGCCTCATTCATTCATTCATTCATTTCATAAAAATTTTTTTTTGTAGGCTTTTTTTCCTCTCAGCCCAAGGGCCAAATGTTGTAACCTTGGCTGTGGTATTGAATTACTTCTCAGTTCAAGACCTTAAAGCTTTATATGCAGAGCAGATATATAATTTAGGAAGTGATTCAGGGAATTTTTTAAAAAATCGTAGCATTGGCACACAATTCTTAGTTCTTTTCAGCTTTGGTGGAATGAATATAGGCTTTGGCATCAGAAAGACCTGAGTTTGAATCCAGGCTGCTTACAAAGTAGCTATGTGATTTCAAGTTCTTCAAGTTGCTTGATTTTTCTGTTCTTTGGTTTGTTCATGTCTAAAATAGCGTTGCTAAACTCACCCTGCCGTGCTGCAGTGAGGACTGAATTGGGCGATGTGTGTGGAGTGCCTCGTATCCCTATGCTGCTGCTGCAGCTCCATAAAAAGCTGCGTTATTGCCATCTCATCCCAGTTATATTGAACCCTTTTTCCCCCAGATGTCTCTATATTTTCCTAAAATACTTGCCCTTCCAGCTTGTCTCATCCTCCCTAAATTTCAAAAGTTTCTTTTGCTTTAAGATTCTTAACTTGGCTGGTGTGACTCAGTGGATTGAGCACCCACCTGTGAACTGAGAGGTCACCGGTTCGATTCCCAGTCAGGGCACATGCCTGGGTTGCGGGCCCAGTCCCCAATTGGGGACGTGCAAAAAGCAACTAATCAATATATCACACATGGATGTTTCTCTCCCTCTCTCAGTACCTCCCTTCCCCTCTCTCTAAAATTAAATAAATAAAATCTTAACAACAACAAAAAAAGATTCTTACTTCGTGAGACCTTGGTATTTCCATGAGCTAAGCAAGTCGTTTCATTCCCGCTAATACCATCCCCACTGGTACCTTTTTCTGTTATGTCACGTAATATACTGGACTGTCACTTAGATGTTTTTCCCACTAGTATGGAGTATCTTGGTATCTTTCTCTTCAGTGCATAGTATATTGTGGTTAGTAAATATTTTAGAATAAAAATTATTAATTGGTACCCCAGCCTATCAAGGACTTACCAACCCCACGTATCTTGTCATTATGCTCTTTATAGTTGAACGTATGCGGAATGGGATTGACATCCTGGTTGGCACACCAGGTCGTATCAAAGACCACTTGCAGAATGGCAAGCTAGATCTCACCAAACTCAAGCATGTTGTCTTGGATGAAGTTGACCAGATGTTGGATATGGGGTTTGCTGATCAAGTGGAAGAGATTTTAAGTGTGGCATATAAGAAAGGTAAACTCCCAAGTTCCAGGAATTGATGAAAGGGATCAGAAGGGTTGATGATTAAGTAGCTATTTTAAGAGTTAAATGAAGCTTTCAGAAATTGGGAGGTGACTTATTTTATACTCAGGAAAACTTGAATTAAAACTAAATCATGATTTCCCAAATGTGGGAAATGTGAGAGAGTAAAGAGGCGAATTTCATGTCTACCAGTTTGGTGTACTCGACTTTCATATATTTCTTCCTGACTTTGTGCTACTCTGTGTGTGTGTGTGTGTGTGTGTGTGTGTGTGTGTGTGTGTGTACATTAACATAGCCTTATTGAATGTATTAAAACTTGACATAATAGTCCATGAAGTAGTTGTGCCATGATTTAATTCCACCTATGTATTTTAATTTTTAGGTAATATAAATAATTGTTTACAGGCAGAGGCATTTTTGTGCAGATAACTTCCTTTCATACCACAGTTAATTTGGAATTAGTTCTTTAGGCTAGATTTCCAGAAGTGAAATTCCTGAGTTGAAAGATAGGAATAGTTCACGCTCCTCAATATACACACATTGTCAAGTTGCTCTCTAAAAGGGTTCTACCAGCTTATACTGCCATTGGAAATACATGAAAGTGCAATGAATTGGTGTTTTACAGTTGGTAGGATTTGTTATAATGGACAGATTCCCCTTGTGGTTTGTAGAGGCCACTGGTCAGAAAGCAAAGTAAGTTTAGAGTGCTTTTGCTATTTTAAGGGTCCTTTACATAAATTACTTAGGCAGTATTTTTTTTTGCCTCTTGGGAACCTCTGTTGTTCATTTTTGCGTTTTCAGTACCTGGCTTGGCCTAGTGGTTGCTGTAGAGTATTAATGGACCCAGGAAGAATCGGGTGAAGTGGAATAATCTGTAGGTTTGTTTGGGTTATTCATACTAACTTTTTTTCCCCCAAAAGATTCAGAAGACAATCCCCAAACACTGCTCTTTTCTGCAACTTGCCCTCATTGGGTATTTAATGTTGCTAAGAAATATATGAAATCTACATATGAACAGGTGGACCTGATTGGTAAAAAGACTCAGAAAGCCGCAATAACTGTGGAGGTAAATGATTTATTTGGTTGCTGGAATTAGTAATAAGTTGTGTATCTTTTTTTTTTTCTCTTGATAGTTCTAAGATTAGCAGATTTCTATGTAAGTACTAGATCCATGTGAAAAGCCAAGTAAAGATATATTTGTTTGATTTCCATATGATATCTGTGTTTTCTAAATTTTATCATCTTTTACCCTGATTTCAGAATCCTTTGAGACCTAAATCTGTCTGAATTATCTAAATAGAAATTACCCCCCCAGACATGAAACACTAGGGAGTGGTGGAAAAAATCTGGTGCTTTGTGTTGAAGCTGTTTTTCATCCTAGAGTCTGGTGTCTACACAGATTCATTGTACCCACGGAACAGACATGTACAGTAACCGACTGCTGATTGCATTTCTAAACAAATCCTCACCTGAGGATATGCTTACTGATTTGAGAGAGAGAGCAAGAAAGCATCAATACAAGAGAGAAACATTGATCAGTTGCCTCCTGTGTGCACCCGGGCAGGCATTGAACCCGCAGCCTTTTTGGTGCACAGGATGGTGTTCCAACCAACTGAGCCACCCAGGCAGGGCCAGATTGCGTTTTTAAAGGATGGAAGGACAAAACATAGAAAAACTTTTCTCTTGTCAGCTATTTGGTTTCCTGTAGGACTCTGAATGATATTTCTTTTCCTACATTTTCATGATTAGGTCAGAAAATAAAGTCACCTGCTCTTTGGAGAAAAGGGAAAGGCTCTCTGCTTTCATGGTTTAGTTTTTTCCCCTAAACAGTGAGTCTGCTCTAGGCCAAGTTAAACAGCTGCTTCCAGTACCATTAGTGATGAGCAAGTAATTCCAGGCTCCAGCTGAGCTTCGTGAAATTGATCTTTTTCTCGCCTCTCCTTTAAGCATCTGGCTGTCAAGTGCCACTGGACTCAGAGAGCAGCAGTTATTGGGGACGTGATCCGAGTGTACAGTGGTTTTCACGGGCGCACCATTGTCTTCTGTGAGACCAAGAAAGAAGCCCAGGAGTTGTCTCAGAATGTCTCCATAAGGCAGGTGGGTCCTTCCTCTCCCTTTCCTTTAGGGAGGGAGAATCATTCATTCATTCATTTAAGTTTTATTTTTTTGTTGTTGTTTTGAGAGAGAGGAACATCCATTTGTTCCACTTATTTAAGCATTTATTGTTTACTCTTGTATGTGCCCTGACTAGGTGTTGAACCTGAAACCTTGGCGTATTGGGACAACACTAACCAACCGAGCTGCCTGGCCAGGGAAGGGAAGAAGCATCTTTTAAATGATAGGGTACACATGTCACCTAACCTGTCAGTCTCATTTCAGAGATGAGGAAAAGGTGGCTCAAACCCAAGGTTACACCAGCAATATAGATTTATCTTTTTTTTCCCCCAGAAAATTAATTTTACCATTGTAACCATTAAAATAACTTTTAGAAAATTTTTTCTAGTGATTTTTAGAAAGAGAGAAGAAGAGGGAAAAAGAGAAACATTGATTTGCTGTTTCACTTATTTATCTATTTATTGGTTGATTCTCGCATGTGCCCTGACTAGGGATTGAACTTGCAACCTTGGCATATTGGGATGATGCTCTAACCAACTGAGAGATTTGCCCAGGGCAACTTTTTTTAAGAGTATTGCTGATTGATTGATTGATTGATTGATTGATTGATTTGAGGGCGAGAGAGACATTGATTTGTTGTTCCATTTACTTATACATTTATTGGTTGCTTTTTGTACGTGCCCTGACCAGGGATTGAATCCTCAGCCTTGGCATATCTGGGCGATGCTCCAACCAACTGAGCTATTCAGCCAGGGCCAGATTTGATCGTTCTTATCTGGTGTTCTATGTCTTGTTAGTATAGCTGATTTAATGACCAAGGCTTGGAAATAGTTTTGAGGCTTGTCCATGAAAGGCACATGTTTTCTTTCCCCTTTGTGTTATTTTCAGTAGAAGTATCGCCAAAATATGAATGTCTTCTACAGGCCTCATTGGTGAAGTACCCTTATTGCTGGACCTGGTATTCTTAAGCTAGTTTATTTCTTTGGCAGGATGCCCAGTCATTACATGGGGACATTCCACAGAAGCAAAGGGAAATCACCCTGAAAGGTTTTAGAAATGGTGATTTTGGAGTTTTGGTTGCAACCAATGTTGCTGCGCGAGGGTTAGACATCCCTGAGGTTGACCTGGTTATACAAAGTTCTCCACCAAAGGTAAGTGTTTTATGTTTTGTGGTTTCTTTTGGGTATTAAACCAAAATGGAAGTTGTATTGTTTACTTTCATGTGATTAATAATAGTTATTTCTTGAGTGCTAGGGGTGGTTTTAAAATTGACTTTGAGGCCATCCCCTCAGAACTGGCAGTTGAGTGCAAGTGTGGTCACTGGTCAGAGGCTGGAGCAATAATTTCTGGCTAAAGGGTGAGTCCTGGAAGGCTTCGTGGAAGTAGTGCAATTTTGAACATGGGTATGACTTAGGTGGGGTAGAGGTGGGGGGGATAAACTTAGGAGCTAGAGGATAGAGAAGGGAGAAAGGCCTGTAGTTAACAGCCTTCGTAGTTGAAACTGCTAGGGTTTGTGGGGGGTGGGAAGGGAACCTCTCAGGGAGGGCCCTCACACATAGTTCATGTGGTGTGCACAGTGCTTGTCACATGAGATCTGGTCTGCAAGAGCCTGTCTATATCTCTTTAGTGTGAATACCCTATAACCTCGCCGTAATTGGCAAATCTGGCAGGATTAAATGTTGTGTACAATGATGGAAAAATGCCTGATATCTGTGAAATCATCAGTTCTTATAAAGGAAGTCCCATGTGTGGCATAGACATTGTTTAAATGAGCCTGCACACCTGTCTGTCCAATACGATAGCCACAGCCAGGTGTAGCTGCTGAATACTTGAAATGCAACAGCTCATCTGAGTTGATATGTGCTATAAATGCAGAACACATGTTGGAGTGTCTTTTATTTTAAACTTTCTATTCTGCACACTGGATTTTGAAAACATGAAAAAAGAATGCAAAATACCTCGTTTGATAACTTGTTTGAAATAGGTAACATCCAAGTGACAAAACTGCTAGCTATGTTGAGTTAAATAAAGCAATAAAATTAATTTAACCTTTACTTTCGTTTTATTTTACTTTTTAGTGTGGTTATAGAAAATTGCATATTGAAATGACGTGTGATGGTTCTGTTGGACAGCACTGTTAAGATGATGCTTGTGTAATTTGCCCACAGGCTAGGGACCACTGATTGCGAGGTTTTGAAAAATGTCACACTACCTTAATATAAATTGAAATGCTAGAGAAGTATCACCTCACACCCCCGCATGTTACCACCACTCTTGCCTCTGTGCGGACTACTCAGGTCTTTGCCTCTTTCTGTTCATGTCACTTATATTTTACTTAATAGGATGTGGAGTCCTACATTCATCGTTCTGGGCGAACGGGCAGAGCTGGAAGGACTGGGGTTTGCATCTGCTTCTATCAGCACAAGGAAGAGTATCAGTTAGCACAAGTGGAGCAAAAAGCGGTAAAACTGTTTTCTTAGCCTCATTCAGCAAACGTTGAGCTCTAAGTCAGCCTTTGGTTTCTTCATTCAGTTTTTTTGTTTTTGTTTTTTTTTTACTTGAAATTAGTTTCATTTCCAGGATGTGACTGTGACTGAAAGCTTGTTCTTAGACACATGTTTTATATATTGTCTTGTAATGTAAAGCCCATTTTGAAATAATTTTGCATTTGAAAGCAGTGCTTTCATTTTCATATCTGCAATTATAAGAGCTGTTTTATGTTAGAAAGATAGTTTTCAGATGATGATAACGTGAACACATCAGATATACTTATGCATAGATGAGAGAGTTACAGGAATTCTGTAAGGAAATTTGTATGGTAGGTACTGCCTCCAGGAGCAGGGTGGTTTGTCTCCCTCCTTCTCCTTGAGGGACTGCATACAAAGTGTGTGCAAGTGTGGTGGTGACCACGTACAGAGACTAGACTAGGAGTGGCGGGAGGGGGAGACTAGGCGTTGCAGGAAGTGGACAGATGCTGCCTGGCCAGGGGATCATCAGTGAGAAGCATGTACCCCATTAGGAAGTGATGTGGTGGCTCCCACATCGGGCTGTCGTCCCCAAAACCCATGGCCCCAGTCTGAGCATGTGAAAAATATCAGAGAGCCAAATGGAGGGACGGTCTACAAAGTACCTGGTCAGGGCTCCTTAAAAGTGCCCAGGTCATAAAAAAGCAAGGAAAGACCGACTGCTGCAGGTCAGAGGAGACTAAGAAGACATGACTAATTGAAGGAATGCAGTACCCTGGATTGGATATTGGAACAGAGGAGCGATATTAGTAGAAAAACTAGTAAAATTCAAACGAAATCAGTTAATAGTACAGTACAACTGGGTTTCTTAGGTGTGACAAACGTCCCACAGTCCTAACAGTAAGAAAACTTGGTGCATGGTATATAGGAACTCTCTGTAAATCTAAAACCGTTGTCAATAAAAAGTTTATCTTATAAATAAATGTATGACAACTATGATTTGAAAATATAAAAATTTACCAATCTCAGTGGAAACAGTTAATTAAACTATGTACATTGTACATTAAACTATGGTTCATTTTCTTGTAGGGAATTAAATTTAAACGAATTGGCGTTCCTTCTGCAACAGAGATAATAAAAGCTTCCAGTAAAGATGCCATCAGGTATGTTCCTGCCACTGCTGCGGTCTGTTTTAGCACTTGCTCTCATTACTGCATGTTTTTGCGCAGTAATGAGGTTGAGCCTTTTCAAACAAATTTTCTTTATTCATTAAAAAAAATTATTCATTTTTAGAAGGAGGGAGAAAGTGGGAGAAATATTGATTAGTTGTCTCTCACATGCCCCCAACTGCAGACATGGCTAGCAACCCATGATTCCTGACCTGGAATTAACCAGCAACCTTTAGGCCTGCAGGTCGGCACTCAGTCCACTGAGCCACACTAGCCAGGGCATTTATTCATTATTTTTAACAATTTATAACCCTCTTGTTATTAAAACTCTCCAGTGGTGCTGAAACAAAATTATGCAAAGCAGAAACCCTTGTTTCTACTCATCCCTGCCTAATCCTATTATTCACTAGAAGAAATTACTATTTAATAGTTTGGTTTGCCCTGGTGGGTGTGGCTCAAATGGTTGGAGCATTGTCCTGTACCAGAAGGGCAAGGGCACATTACCTGGGTTATAGGTTAAATCCCTGATCTGATCGAAGGCTTGTGCAAACCTTAGTCAGCATTCTTCATTTTGATGTTTCTCTATCTCCCTTCCTCTCCCTTCTTCTCTCTCTAAAAAGCAGTGAGAAAAATGTACTCTGGTAAGGAAGTTTGGTTTGTCTTAGGCAGTTTAAGGAACTGTATCTTATATATGGTATAGGTGCTTCCCACCTGGAGACTAATTAGATTGGAACAGATTATATTCTAAATCTTCATTAATCTAGTCTCTCACCTGGGAGGAATGAGAGTTATTTTAGTTATAGTAAATATCTAGATAGGATTAGATTAACAGTGTTTGTCATTGGAGGTGCTATTGTCATTGGGGACAAGGAAAGTTATTGTGTGGGACTGTGCTATGAACTGAAGGATATTTAACTGTTTGTTTAGCATCCTGGCTGTTCAGTGTATATCCCTTGGGGTGAGTGGGATTGGCATGAAAGCCAAAGCGGTCTTGTTTTCCGGATGTCTCCTGCTTGGGACCAGAGTCCGAGCGTCATTTTTAGAGTATTTTCCATAATCACTTACAAATGTGTGACATACTTATTTTAAAAATCAACAGGGGGAGTTCATGTTCAAAAGAAATGCTGGATAACTTGGAAAAAGTTATAATTGGGTAGACTAAATGAAAAGACTTATAACTCAGCATTTTTCAAGTTTTTTAGCATGATTTTCTTTAAGCATCCTGCAAACAGGGTTTCCTGTGACACCTCATAAGGAAATTTGGGTTTAGATGGCTGGGAAGGAGAAAAAAGATAGGGTGCTGGTGGTGCTATGTGAAAAGTGGCCTCGGAAGGGGCAGGCCTGATAATAGTGAGTCCTAAATAAGTATATAGTCTCATAGAGGCCTGTATCATTTTTAACATAGTTTGGGAGTCTTTTTTTCTTTTATTTCAGAATGTAAATACCTGTAGTATCTTCTGACTCTAAAAGTAACATATGCTTATTATAAAATATATCATTTATTAACGTCAGGTTTAATAGTATGGCATTTCATTGTATCTCTTTCATGGTTTCTTTAGTTTGTATTGATACACGTTTTAAAATTGTTCATACTTTTTTCTGTAACACTGTGATTAACATTTTAATATCTTATTGCCTTAGGATAAAACTTTTGGGGGTTGGTAGTTAGATATTATTTAGATATACTCAAAGAAATAGATTTATTACTATAGAAATGTGATGCTTGTGTAACTGCATTGAAAAGATGTTTAAACAATACAGAACATTTGGTTCGAAAGTTACTGATTTATCTTGAGATGTCGTTGTCTTGAAAATGAAATGTCTACTTCTCCTACCCTTCCGCTAACAAACATATTCTCGATCAAACCATAGGCTTTTGGATTCTGTGCCTCCCACTGCCATTAGTCACTTCAAGCAGTCAGCTGAGAAACTGATAGAGGAGAAGGGAGCAGTGGAAGCCCTGGCGGCGGCGCTGGCTCATATCTCAGGTGCCACGTCAGTAGACCAGCGCTCCTTGATCAACTCAGAAGCGGTAAGAGTCCCTATCAAATTTTGATACTTGGCCCTGGCCAGGTAGCTCAGTTGGTTACAGTATCGTCCCAAAACACCAAGATTGTAGGTCCAGTTCCTGGTCAGGGCACAGATGAGAATCAGCCAATGAAAGCATAAATAAGGAGAACAGCAAATCAATGTTTCCCTCTTAAAGCCATGCATAAACAAATCCATAGAGACATAGAGTAGATGAGTGGTCGCCAGTGTACCAGAAATGGTGCGGGGAGTGGCAGCGGCTGCTGAAGGGCGTAGGGATTCTATTGAGGGTGATGAAATGTCCTGGAATTTTAGGTGGTATTGATGGTTGCACATTTTGTGAACATACTGAAAACCCCTGAATGGTACACTTTAAAGTGGTGAATTCTGTGGTTATGTGAATTATGTCTCGATTTTTAAAATTTTAAAATATATGCACACATACAAATATATATAATTCATTCAGCCAGCATACCTAGAAAGTTTAAAAGGTGTGTGCTTTTTAAAAATTTTTGAGATGATGGGTTCACATGTTGTTGTTAGGGATGATGTAGTGTGATCGCCGTACACTTTGCCCAGTTTCCCCCCATGGTAACAGTTTACACAACTGGAATTCACGGCAGGATTATGGGTATTGGCACAATCCACTGGTCTCGTTCGGAGTTCTTCAGTTTTACTTGTACTTATTTGTGTGGGTGTGTGCAAGTGGTATATCCTTTTAGGGAGAACTTTTCCAGAGATATTTTAGAAACATGAGGGAAGGTGTTAATCATTTGTTTTTGAGACTTCAATTTTGTTGCCCTTTCTTCCATAGGGCTTTGTGACCATGATCTTGAAGTGCTCAATTGAAATGCCAAACATTAGTTATGCTTGGAAAGAACTGAAAGAGCAACTGGGTGAGGAGATTGATTCCAAAGTGAAGGGGATGGTCTTTCTCAAAGGAAAGCAGGTAAGGGAGGCTGGGACCTATTTTGTGACCTTGCTTTGTGGTTCTTTAGGTTTATGCGGGTAATACAACGCTGTACAGTAGTTTCTCCCTGTTCTGGGGGGATGCTGCACTTTTTGTTTTCTCTGTAGTTTTCTCTGGGTAGTGTCATCCATGACTCAATTCCACTTAGTCATTGACAAGTACCCCATCCGAGTCTCCAGCCTGAACCATCTGCATCCAGTGCTCGACTTGAAGATGTAGCTGCTTCCCTGACATCTCCACTAAGATGGGGTTTATTAAGCAACTTAAAACAGGCATTCAATATTGAGTTCATAATCTTTCATTCAAATTCACGTTTTAAAATCTTGCCTTCCAAAACTGGTGTTCTTTCTTCTGAGTCCTTTTCTCAGTTAATGGCCTGACCAGCACGGTAATGCCAAGTACGCCATGCTTTGTCTCATCCCAAGTGCTTGCTGCACCCACTGTGTATGAAACCTCTTCCCTGGCCGTACAGCAGAGTTGGGGGCATCTTTATCTGTACTGCAGGGTTCTTAGGGCATACCTTCATTCAGGTGAATTGTACTGGCTGTGCTTGCTGGCCGAGAGCCTCAAGAACATGATAACCTACTCAAAGCCAAAGACTGGGTATCTCTACACCCCAGTGAGTTCTGGCATTGACTACTTAGTAAGTAAACAGGAAAATTAAGATTCCTACAGATGACAAAATGTATCAGTACCTGGTACTCCCTGTGGTTATAATTGGGTAAACTGGTGGGTGGAAGGGGTGTTCTTCGTAAAATATTGCAATTACAGACAACCTGCGGAGAGAGGGGTGCCTGTGGCAGTTGCAGGGGTAGTTTGAATATAGTGTTTATAGAGACCAAAAGGCAGAAGGACCTCTTTAGTTGGGAATGAAGTCTTTGCTTATTATCAAAGAAAGTGTCCTGTATTTAATTTTTTAGAAAACTTTTTCATAGGAGGATGAATTATGAAAAACTAGAAAATTAACCATAGAAGCCTTTTTTTTGCAGGGGGGGAGGGGTGGTAGTGTTGGGTTTTTTTGCCTTTAGTGTGACCAGTTGTCACTCTTTTTGATGAAAGGCAGTGTATTTTAATGGTTAAAGACCATAGGTTTTGGAGCCATACTGTCCAGAATTGTAAAACCTACTCTATCAGCTTTGGGGCCTTAGACAAGTCAGTTGGCCTCTCCAGTCTTCTGCTTCCTCAGCCATAAATGCAGCTAATAGGTACTTCAAGATGAGCGCAGTGTGATAGCCGAGAATGATCTCTAGTCAGTTCTAAATAATTTTTGAGTTCTTTTGTTTTATATCTTTAGCTTTTTGTTATTATCCTTTGGGGAGGTACAACATGATGGCCTTGGTCTAAACTTTACCTAAAATTAGCCATGGCTGGTGTAGCTCAGTGGATTGAGTGCAGCCTGCTAATCAAAGGGTCACCAGTTCGATTCCCAGTCAGGGCACATACCTGGGTTACGGGCCAGGTCCCCAGTACTGGGTGTGCAAGAGGCAACCACACATCGATGTTTCTCTCCCCCTCTTTCTCCTCTTTTTCCCCCCTCTCTCTAAAAATGAATAAATAAAATCTTTTAAAAAATAATAAAGTTTACCTAAAATTAATGGGGTTTTTTTTGACTCAATGACAAATTTATTACTTTCCATGGGTTCATTTCTAGAATGGACACTTACAAGACAAAAGTCTAGTGTACTTCTAATCCTATACATTTAATTTTTTTAGTACATTTAAAATTTCTTAGCTACATAATATTTGTTCCTTTCACAGTTTTCGTTTCCATTACTATCTTAGTAATAAGAAATATGAAAAGTTAATGAAAGACACAAGCATTTGAGTAAATTGTCAATGACAAAACAACAGAGACTATTTACAAGCAGCATTTGATGGATATTAAAATATCAGTGTGAACCCTCCTCTTCTTGGTGGGGGTTGGGCGCGCGGCCCGGATCCCCGTATGTGCGGAGGGAGAGGGCTCCGCCCCCTCGGCGTTTCCAGCCCGCCGGTTCTATCCTCAAGCACCGGGACACAGGTCAAAAAAAATATCAATGTGAAATGTATTTTTTAAACATACTATTTGGTCATTTAGAGTGTCATTTAACATGCATTTTATAATTCTAGTCAAAGGCAGGGTTAACTTGTATTTGTTTTGATTTTTAGGGCGTTTGCTTTGATGTCCGTACTGCTGCAGTGACAGAAATACAGGTATTCTTTCTCTTGGATTTGGAAGTTAACACGTCTAAATTGTAGAATGTTCATTATTGAAAATACAGAATACTAGAAAGGGAAACAGCAGCTCTAGTTCTTTTATTAAGAGACGGTTACAAATTTTAGTGTTTTTTTTTCTCCTAGTGTTTTACTCCTATGTTTTTTCTGTTTTTCTTTCTGCAGAGTAGTGAACCATATCCAGCCTTTCCCTCACTCCCATATATATAGGTTATATGGGGTTTACATAAACAGTTTTAATTTCTGTGTTTTTAATTCAGTACTGCTATGAGAAACGTGTTTGTACATGGTATATGTATGTTTCACCAGCTGGCAGCTTTGGATACCCTCTAGTAATAGAATTGAGTAAATGATGATGTGATGATGATACAGTATAAGGGTACTTTTTACAGTGAAACCCATTTTTCCACACTTCAGTGACTCTGGCTTTTGGGCCATGAGGGTAACTATTTTTGACCAGTGACTTTTTAAGCACTGAGGATATCAGTCTGGTTTTTCTCTTTGAGAAAGGGCAAAAATGTCTTTCTTCTGCCTTTTTAAACCAAATTCAATTTAAAAAATCAAAGTGGTAAAAATAAAATCATCTCTCAACAGGAAAAATGGCATGATTCACGACGCTGGCAGCTCTCTGTAGCCACGGAGCAACCGGAGCTGGAAGGACCACGGGAAGGGTACCAAAACTTCAGGGGGCAGCGGGAAGGCAATCGAGGTCACAGGGGGCAGCGGGAAGGCAACCGAAACTTCAGGGGACAGCGGGAAGGCAGTAGAAACTTCCGAGGACAGCGATCAGGAGGTGGCAGACAGCGATCAGGAGGCGGTGGCAGGAATAACAGATTCCAAAACAAAGGCCAGAAACGGAGCTTCAATAAAGCATTTGGTCAGTAATTGAAGTAGGAAATTTATATGGCAAAATAGAACTGTGTTTGGCTCCATGGACCCAAACCTTTTTTGCACACAAAGTTAAAAGCACACTGTGTTTCCTTTCTGACCAAGCATCCAGGTCCATCTCTTCCAGAAACAAGCTTCCAAGTTATTTCATCTGATGGTTGTCATAACCTTATTGCTACCTTTGTATCAGGTTTTCCTTTTCAAAAGGTATATGAATTCATTAAGCTTTTATTCTAGTGCATCTTACAGATTATAAAGTAAAGTTAAGCTTGTATCTGCCTATACTTTTAAGTTGACCTATCTTGATACTTAAAAGTATCTCTTAATAGTGTTCTCCCCTGCATACCTATGGGAAATGCCACAATCTCTGGAGAAGCGCTCTGTTCTGTAATTGGCGTTCCTCAGCCACCTGCCTAACAATTCCTCACATGGGCCTATAACATGTCTTCTGAGAATTAATACTGAGCAATGTTTTGAAGCAAGATCTTAAACTTAGCTTGGATGTAATAAAGCTTATGCCAGCATGTGCTGTAGGTTTGGAGGATGGTGATGCATTTGATAGGACACATTATGTGGATTAGCCATTGTTATGTGTGTGCATTTTGATACATTTTTAGCTTCTGAATATACGGTGATTTGTGCTTCAGTGAATTGACAGGTTTTATACATCTGCATATCTCTTTATATATATAACAAAATATTTTAATAGAAAGCAAGTATATTTAAGGGATTCCAAATGTATAGGATGCCCCCATAACTTTCTTTGTACTAAGGAGGCTGGGTAAATGGGGCTTGATGATAACATATTCCACTTCCAATTGGGAGAAACTTTATCTGCCAGGAAGGAATTAAGGGAGTTAGAGGGCAGAGATTTGCATTGCTGAAGAGTGTCCCCCCCCCAAAAAAAAAAAAAAACCCTGAAAATACTTTCCATATGTGAGAAAAAACTGAAAATACTCTCCATATGTGAGAAGGAAGTATCTGTTGGGAGCAAAGGGAAGAACAGGTGAAAGGTGCATGATAAAGGACTCTTAATGGTGAAAACTTACTGGTCATTAATGTTTCCGGAGGTTAACATGTAACAGGCAAGCTAAAATTTAGGTAAAATGATCTCATTTGATTTCTCAAAGGCTTAGTTCCTGTAGCCACAGTATAGGAATTTCTATTAGACTGCTATTCTATTGGGAGGTTTTGGCTACTTAGGGAACTTTTATTTAAAAATAAAAAATTAAAAAAAAAAAGCTATGTGGTTATTTTAAGCTGTTGTTTTGAGGGAACTGAAGAGCTTGATACAGCCTCTGGCCAGATAAGTCACTTGAGTTCTCAGATACTTCTCTGGAAACTTTCTGCATGGTCTAGGAGCTTAAGAGTGCCATTGTCTTCTCACCTTAATTTTAGAAATTCTGTACTGGGAATCTCAGGGAATAAACTATGTTGGGGGAAGTTAAACTACATGGCCGGTCTTGTTTTTATTTAATTAACCAAAATCTCCCTGGAACCTGGTTTCTCTCACTTGGTCGAGTCTTTATCTCTAACTGCCTTTTTCTTAATCATCTGGCAGTAAGGTGCTCAGATAACCAACTCCACTGTCTTTCCTGTCTTTGAATCCTGACTGGTGTTTCTCTGTTCTCAGAAATTCTCTTGGTTTTCATTCCTTGATCCACTTGTCAATGTTACCACTTTTCTTCCTGTTCCCCAGGCCTTCCTATCAAGCTACAGGCATTTAGGGGAAGGTGTTGGATGCCAGAGAACTAACTCATTGGATTACAACTTGTGGATTACAATTTGTTAGATTCCGGTTTTGCTCAAGTACTGAGCATACTTTCATAACCACCGAAACATTTCAGTTTGGATACAAATGGGTACCTTATCAAGCACGTACAAGGACACAATACCTATCCTTCATTAAAACCTTTATGTAGATCAGCCTAAAGAAACAATCAGGCCTAAATCAAAAGTAAGGGGAAGATTATTGGAATTAAGTTGCCTTCATGCAACTTAATTTTAAGGAAAGCATATTTATGGCTATTTCAATAAATGAACCTAAAGTTTCTCAGATCCCAGAATTCAAAGCATATTTATAAATGTATAATTCACCTACTGCTTGGTTGAAATGGGCTAGTTGGGCTAGCCTGGGGAATGCTATCATTTTTACTATATTCTGTAGAGAAAATATTTTCAAATTGATGATCTTTTAAAATACCCATTTTTACATTGAATTTATCTATACAGTTGTTTCTTTAAAATTGTACATAAAATGTTGTTACTATAAAATTGACTTAATGTATAAAATACTGCTTTCTGCCATAATAAAAGTATTAGTACTTGTTATGTTTTTGGTGACTTTTTCCCTAAAATTGAAAATAGCTTGAAATTTTTATTTTAAGTAATGGGTGGTTCTGGCTGGGTAGCTCAGTTGGTTTAGAGCATTATCCCAACATGCCAAGGTTGTGGATTTGATTACTGGAACAGGGTACATACAAGAATGAACCAACAATGCATAAATAGATGGATCAACAAATCAATGTTTCTCTATCTACAATCAATAAAAATTTAAAAAGTAACATAATGGGTGTGAAAGTCCAAATACTGGAGAAAAACAATAGTCACCACATAGTTAACATTTTTTGTGAGCATCTCTTCAGGAGTTCATTTACAAAATTGGAATCATTCATTCAGTTTCGGGAATTGCTTTTTCCCTCACCATGTGCACCCTTTTCTGTAAGTATTGGTACAGCACTTTGATGACTATATGGTATTGTTATGAAACAGACCCAAGATGGGTATACAATATACTATTACCTAAAGGACCCCCAACTAGGTTCGCTGTGCCTGCCACTAGAGGAAAGACATCTCTCAGTGCCAGAGATTTGTGACAAAGGAAAGGAATTATTTAAAAACTATGCAGACTTGGAGTAGTGGCTTAATGTCTTCGTTAAAATACTAAAGTTCTTTAGAATACCCACAGATGCACACAGTCAGTCCTTCCTTCTCCCTTTGCCCTAGTCCAGGGTATGGTATTTCAGGAGAAGAAGTAGAAGTCCGTGATTCAGGCTGGTGGCACCTTCTCATGGCCCACCAGCAAGAGTCCTTTCACCCCTTCCAGGCAAAGTCTCTCCTGCTTCCTAAGCCACGTGGCAAAAGGGAGAACCCCAAAGCCGTGGGATCTCTACTCTGCCAAAGCCCCATGGTTTTCTCATCTGGCTGCCAAACCTATATTTAAATCCCCACACCACTCATTCTCTGCAACCCCATTTCCGACTCCTACAATCAGTTAAACTTGCCAGCATTCCTGTGTTCCAGCTTTTCTGGGCTGCCATAATAAGTCTGGGCAGGTGTGGCCTTATGGCTTGGAGCCAATCATCTCCAAGCTCTCACAAAGGTGCTGTAACCAGGGGGAGCTGCCTCCCAGTAACATTCTGGGTGGCAAATCACTTCCATTTCCCTGGGTCAAAGCATGGCCACAGCTATTTAACGTATTCATGAAACCAGTTAAAGGTTATAGATAGGTTAAATGACCATGCCAGAGGCTAGCTGCAAAGCTATTGCTGTACAAAACAGTTCTCAATGGCCCTGTTCCATGTATCCCATCCCCCACCTCAGCCTTGGTGTCGGGGGTGGGGGTGTGAGGACATTCTATATATTTTTCTAATATTTTCTAGACACATTGAGTTCTAGACCCCATTACAAATCCCCATTTGGGTCCCCCCTCTAGGCTGTACCCTGTTATAGTATCTCACTGTATATTTAACCAGGATTCTAGATTTCCATGTGAGTTTTCACTTACAAACAACCCTAAAATGAATGTCCTTATGTAAATCTTTGCCTACTTGTGTGATTGTCAATCTAGGATAAATTTTCTAAAAGAATTTCAGGGTCAAAGTGAACGTGCGTTAAATTTTGGTGCAAGTTGCTCTCCAATGCAGTACTAGTTTACATTCCCACCTTAAAGTGAATGAGAAACTATTTCCTCACAGCAGTGAAACCCTGGGTTTTAGTTTTCTGTTTGTTTGCTAGGTGCAGAATAATATTGTATCTATTATTTGCATCTTTTAATTCAGTGAGGGTTAACATCTTCCATTTATAGACCATTTGCATAAAAAAAATTACCCTAGGCCCTGGCTCAGTTGATTAGAGCTTGGTCCTGTGATACACTCAGGGCACATAAAAGAATCAACCAATGAGTGTATGAATTAGCGGAACAACAAATTCGATGTTTCTTTCTCTCAAAACTAAAGAAATAAAAATTACCCTGTATATCTTTTTTTTTCTACTGGGGTCTGCCTCTTGATAAGTTCTTTGTTTATTAGTAGTAAATGTATCATGTAGCAAATACTTGAAAATTTTTTTGTCTTTTTAACTGTATGGGATGTTTTGATACAAAGTTTTAGTTTTTATGCAGTTGTAACTATCAATCTTTCATTATTTATGGCTGTCTAATGCTTAGAAAAGTATTCCCTACCTACAAGATTATAAAAACTTTACTCAGCACTTGCTGGTGTAGCTTAGTGGATTGATCATCAACCTATAAACCAAAAGGTCACCGGTTTGATTCCCAGTTAGGGCACATGCCTGGGTTGGTTGCTGGTCAATGTTTCTCTCCCTCTCTTTCTCTCTTCCTTCCCCTCTCTCTAAAAATAAATAAAATCTTTCATATTAAAAATGTCACTCATTTTCTTCTGGAACTCTTGATTCCATTTCAATTATTAATTCATCTGGGGTTTAGTGTAAGGATCAAGTAGGGATCTAGCTTTATTTCTTCCTCCCTGACAGGTGACTAGTAATTTCACATTATTTACTGCAAATTCATCTTTTTATCACTGATTTTTAAAGATTGTCTTCACTATATACTTTCACTGGAGACGTCTTCTTTTTCCCTTAAAAAATTTTCAATTACAGTTGACAGTCAATATTTTATATACAGTTTCAGGTGTACTGTGCAGTGGTTAGACATTTATGTAATTTACAGTTTACCCGGATAAGCCTAGTACTCACCTAGCACCGTACATAGTTCTTACAATATTATTAACTATGTTCCCTATGCTCTGCTTTATGAGACAAGTCTCTTTAAAAGTAACTTTAAAAACATTTTTATGGTTATGTTTCCATTAGAACTGCATAGAATTGGGAGTCTTCTCCAAGAGCTTGTTACAGCTTGTATTTTTTTAAAAGATTTTTTAATTTTCATTTTGAAATAATTTTAGAGCTATGGAAACGTTCAGTAGTACAGAGAGTTTTGTATGCTCTCCACCCAGTCCACCAATGTTAATATTTTATATATCCACAGTACAATGATCAAAACCGGGATATTGAAATGGAGGGTGTCATTCTATAGATACTGCTCTGCGTTTGTTTTTTTTTTTGCATTTTGCTTTTTCACCTTAACAGGATATCCTGGAAATCAGTCTGTATTCACTCATAGAAAATTTATTCTTTTTTTATTTAACATCTGCACCATACTCCATTGTGTGGGTATACCATAGTTTATTCAACTGTTTTCTTACTACTTATGTAAGATCACATAGTCTTCATATATATAAAATAAAGGTTTATTCTCATTTGAGAAAAAGAGGGAGAAAGAGAGAAACATCAGTGTGAGGGAAACACCCATCTGCTGCCTCCTGTGTGCGCTCCAAGTGGGGGATGGAGCCTGCAACTTGGCCATGTGCCGTGACTGGGAATTGAACCAGTGACTTGGGCTACTGGATAAATGATGCTGCCACCCACTGAGCCAAGCTGGCCAGGGTGGTTTCCTGTGTTTTGCAGTCACAAACAGCACTGCTGTGAGGGATTCTGTGTCTATGTATTTCATACTGTTGGAGGTGTATCTTCAGAGTAGATTCCTAGAAGTGGGAAGGTGTGATCAAAAGGTAAGGGCATATGTAGTCTTTTACAAGTATTCTGTATGTATCGGCAAATTCCCCTCTAGGAAGGGGATCTTTTTTTGTGATTTAGTTTTTGAAGAGGCCAGGCCATTTGTCTTTCATTGTTACTGTTGATTATGTATAAATCTGTAGATTTTAACATGTAATATACTTTAACCTATCATTGTCATTCATTCTCAAGTTGTCCTCTCTTTGAACAGCAAGAGCCTCTTTTGAAGCCGGCAGTCCTTTATCTCAGTCCTTTTAACCTGACCCTTCTAGTTTCTGGTGGTTTCTTTGGTTTCTGATTTGACAAGATACCCGGGTTTAGCCTGTCCCAGAACCAGAATGGTCTCGAAGGAACCATGCTTCCTTGTAATAGGTAATATTATTTAGGATCTACAATCTGGGAAATAAAATTTACACCTTACACTCTCATTGCTTTTATTTAGCTCATTAAATAGCTACATTCATGCTAGATTTTTATTTTTTGCTATCATGAAAGTGACGTTTTTCTCCATTGTATCTTTCCTCCAGCAAAAAGTTGTTGATTTTTATACCTTTATTTGTGATCGGCCTACTTTCTTAACTTTTTACTTTTTCGGTTTTACTTTGCTTTCTCAGGAAGGCAATCATACCATCTGTAAATAATAATACTTTTCCCATCTTCCCAATAATTATACCACTTACTTTGTTCAAAAGAATTTTCAATTGCATTTTCTGGAACTTTCAGATCAATACTATATACTACAGATGAGAGTCACCCTGCTCTTATTAATGAATTTTCTATTAAGCTGGCTGTGTAAAAGACAAAGAAATTAGTGCTTTTGTTACTGTGTTATTTTTACTGGAATGAACGTAAGTGATAGACATTAGCTGTGTTCTGACCAAACAAGTTAACTCTCTTTTATTACAATATGCCTTACACAGGGTTGTCAAAAAACTCCATTTACTTTTTTTTTGTAAAATAAAACACATTTTTCAATTTCACCAATAACTTTATTGATTTGGATAGTCTGAGTATGTCAGCTATCTCCCACTATTGGCTTTTAGCAGATTGAGGCCAGGGGAGCTGCTAAACATTTTTCCATGCATAAGATAACCCCACAGCAAAGAATGATTTGGTCACAACATCAACAGTAACCAAGAAACTTCGCAAACCACTTTTGACACGTTCTCTCAGTTACAGCACCTTCTCCATATACTACACAGATCTTTTTTTGCATTTCAGTTGCATTTTTAACCTTTATTTTTTAAATTTATTTTTAGAGAGGGGAAGGAAGGGAGAAATAGAGGGAAACAAACATCAATGCGTGGTTGCCTCTCATGTGCCCCTCACTGGGGACCTGGTCTGCAACCCGGGAATGTGACCTAGACTGGGTATTGAACAGGCAATCCTTCAGTTTACAAGCTGGTGCTCAATCCATTGAGACACATCAGCTAGGGCCCTTTCTTGAAATAATAC